TTGTCTGACAAAGCATCTATTGACCTAAAGAAACCAAGGTCAAGGACATTCAAGTCTGGACTGTTTGGGGGCTGAAACTGTAGTTGAATGTCCCAATCACCTTCCTTTGAAGCACTCACAAATTCAGGATCATTAATATCTATATGTGGTTTAGCATTATCCTGTTGTATGATAACTTGCTTGCTTGTCCCTGGCCACTTGGCGCTTATTGCTGGCAGCAACTGCTGAATCATCATGGATCTCATTACATCCCTTGTTATTTTTGGTACTGCTTTGATTTCCATGGTTCTGTATGGGTCATCTTCACCAGGCAGTGTGTAGAATGTTGCTTTGGGCTTGCTCAAATTAAACCACTTTTCATCGATGTGAATGTAATCATAACAGTCATAAAATGTGGGGTTTGGAAGTGATGTGGGAGATATAAAAGACAAACAATACTTGAGTCTTTTCAACTTACCTTTTTCACACAGAAATGGCTTTATGGCATTAGAATGTCTTTTTATCTTTTTCTCCTTCAGCCACCTGTGTGCTGTTGTAGTAGACACATTCAAGAAATGACTTATTGCACGTAGGGCCTGGCGTTGGTGAAAAGGAAGCTGGCTAAGCTTGGAAAAGTCCTTAGTCGGAGATTTTTTCCCTGTATTTCCTTGCCACCTACAGGAAACATCAATAGCAAGGCCTGTGTCCAGTTGAGCTTTAGCAATTCTCCAAAGGTCTCTTACCGAACGATCTGAAATCTTGAAGTCATTAGCTACTGACTTGATACAACCGTGCTGAAGTTTGCCGTCCTTGTATTTTTGTAGTATCGCATCGATAACTTTCTTCCTTCTTTCATTCCTTGCGTGTACACCAGAAATGCAGTTTCCCCTTTCTATTTCAGGACTGTTAAAAGCTGCTGCAAAGGGTACCTCAACCAGTGGTGGCAAGACAGCATCTTCAAAATCAGATTGTGTGTGTGTGGAAAAGGAGGAGGCAGCCATAAATGCAAAGGGAAGAAAGTGAACTTAATGCTAACTCATTATGGAGGAAGAGTGAGAAGGTTTAATGCAGGGAAGATGGTGTTGTTGGTGTATTTATTGAGCTAAATTTAGAAGTTCTTTGGAGAGAATTTTAAGAATTTCCCAAAAAAACAAATCTGTAATTTTCCCCCCTCCCAAATCTGTAATTTTCCCAACCGTGCAGTGGGATATTTGTAAGCATTAAATGCTTTAACTATTTGCAATAGTAAATGATGATTGCCTTTTGTACTTTTATCCATTTTTTTGGCTTTGGATTTGGGTTCCCACGTGCAACTCTAGGGGTATTATTGGAAAGTCTTCTCCAAATTAACCCTCCCTTATTTTGGCCAAAAGTCAAAACCGGAGGTGTTTAACGGAACGGAGGGAGTATTAAAAGATGTTCAAGGTAAGAGTATGAATATTTAAAAAAAACAAGAATCATAATATTTTGGAATAGAACATTTAGAATAAAAAAAGTTCATGATATTTATTCAAATCTTTTACTAATTATACTGTTTAAAACAAATACGTAACAATAAGAGCTTTAGTGTAGATGGTTGATACATGAAGCGGTCTAATATGTTATTCTGGACCGACTCGGCGACCGGTTTACCAGTTTTGGGGTTGAATTGGTCGGTCCGGTCCTATTTTTAAAAGTATGGAACAAATCGAATGGATGGTAAGAAGTAAATTAATTTTAATTAATCAGAGAAGTCTTGTTTACTCCTTTACAATAATTTCTAAACCAATGGTATTGCATTAAGATATGATAAAAAGTTTGTATACCTATAAAATATCACCCATGGTTGACACTGATCTTAAGAGGGAAGTATCATTTATGTTGAAAATTAAAATGGAACTAAAACATATTTCACCCATGGTTGTTTAGATTTTTTGGGGCCGATTCTCAAAAATAGTGAAAATAATAAAATTACAAATGACTTCGTCAAAGAATAGTTTTTTATTAAGAAACATTATTACGTGAATTCCTGAGTAATATCATACTTCGAAACATCACAAATATTAATTAGAGGAATAAAAACCCACTTCAAAAAATCACACTCAGTATCAAATGCTCGAGCTTAAAGATACATGAGCATTCTAATTCAACTGACTTTCCAAAAAAGACAAAGAGAGAGAGAGAGTTTAACTCTGCAGCATGCATCTTAGACCACCGGGAATGGTCGTAACACCGGGGGGCGCTATCGGCCGTTTAACGTAGCCGGGACATTAAACACCGCCCCCCTTGCCACGTTATATGGTGTCACCTTGCATACGTTAAATGTTTAATGCTGAGAAAGGGGAGGGAGCTGAGAGATCCGTTGGTGGCCCAAACGAGTATAATGCCGTTGGGCATTATTTATTTTTTAAATTTTCAATACTATAAATACTCCTTATTTTTAATACAACAAACACACACACAATCTACTCTCATTCTCTCTATAATTCCTCCAAAATATATTCTATTTTTCTTAATTTTCTCTACAAAATATTTGAACATGGGATTATCATCTAACGATGAAAAGAGAGCTCTCATTTTTCATTGTTTCGCGACGGGTTATTATCAATGGTGGTAACAAGGCGAACGAGAACAAGAGAAATCCTATCGACACCAATGCCTGACCCGACGTGAGCGTTTAAACTATGATGGCGGCTGCACACGCTTCACTACTCAACGACAACTTCAATATATACTCCGTGCATTTACACACCAGAGGATTTTAGCAATCGTTTTCGGATGACTGTTTTTTTACGCATACTCGTCGATATTTAACGTGAGGTGTCTTGATTCACCCAACGCGAGAGGCCGGTGCGGTTTTAGCAACGTCTGGAAGTGCACCGCCGCGCTTCGTCATATGGCGTACGGGACGACATCTGATATGTTCGACGAACATTTGAAGATGTCGACTCGGAGCATCAGGTCATGTGTTTATAAATTTTCTAAATCTATTATTCGACATTATCATAAAAGGTATTTACGTAAGCCGACAGCAAGCGACATTGAGCAGTTACAGGCTAGGCATGCCGCTTAACACAGGTTTGTCAGCATGCTTGTGAGCATTGATTGCACGCATTGGGAATGGAAAAATGTCTCACTTCATGGCATGGTCAGTTCTCCCGGGTGATCATCCTAAGACTACTATCATGCTCGAAGCTAAGACTTATAATGACTTGTGGTTTTGACATGCTTTTTTGGTGTTGCGGGCTCAAACAACGACATCAATGTTTTTGATCAATCGCCTATTTTTGAAGATTGGATTAATGAGACTGCACCAAACTTGTTTTTTGAGTTTAGAGGGACGCTTTACAAGTATGGATATTATCTTACGAATGGAATATATTCATATTATTCCATGACTGTCAACTCTCTCTCTCTCTCTGAACCAATGAGTCTTAAATGTCAGACCTACAAAAAAGCTCATGAGCGGCACATTCTAGATCATTCTTCCAAGTATTATTCGCAAACAAAAATGAGGAATATCATGTACGCATGTATTATTTTTCATAATATGATCATAGAGGACAATGAGTTTGCAATATGTCATTACAACCCGAATGAGGAGGTGCCTACGTACAAAGAAATCGATGAAGAAAAGAAATGAAGAAACCGCCAAGAAATCCAAAGCCGAGAGATTCACAATACACTAACTTTGGATTTGATTGAAGATATTTTTAGTTGTTGGAATAATCACTATTTTTCTTCGTAATGTAATATAATTTTTATTTTTTATTTATGTTGTTATAATTTAAATCTTATTTTATTAATGTAATTTTTTATTAAATGTATTTTTTATTTAATGAATTATTGAATTTAATTAAATAATGAAATATTATTAATTTAATTTTAGAAGATGTGTATTTAAAAATATAAAAAATAATGGTTTGAAGCTCTAGTTTGAAGCCTGGGACTTCAAACTCATTTTTCAGTGAAATTTTGGTGTAAGTTAAAACTGATGTGGCAGAGAGAAGGTTTAAAGGCCACGAACTTCACGACCATTTTCAGTGCTCTTAATTACAACCACCCACCACTTTAAAGAAATATATGATATGCCAGCCTCTACTTGGAAGTAGGGCTGGACACGGTGCCGGTAGGGTACCGTTACCGGTGACGGTACTACCGGTACCGCCACCGTCACCTGCGGCCGTCCCATTGCTCCGGTTCTGGGGAACCGGTACCGGCAACACCACCCAAAGTACCAATTCCAGTGCCAGTTTTTTGGTACCGACGCCGGCAGTACCGGTACCGGTTCCAGTACCCTTTAATTTTTTTTCTTTGGGAGACCTTCACCTGCTCACCTGCAAAAAAAATATTAGTGGGGGACCCCTAAAACGGCTAGAATGCCATTGAGGGGAGGGAGGAGGGGGGAGGTGGGGGTTAAGGCTAGGGGAGGGGGCTATCCAATACATTATAAATATACACTTGTTTTTTTTAAAATATCACACATTCACACCATTCTCAAATCTCAATCCCTCGTTTCTCAATCTATTCTTCATTTCCTCTCTAATTCTCTATTAATCCCTATTATTTCTCTTCAATCTTTATACATTTTATATTCATATAATAATATAAATATATATTAATATATTATATAATATATAAATATATACTTATATAATATTAAATTTTTAGTCATAGATTCATTATTCATATAATCATATATCATATATTATTATTTACTACGGAGTAATATATTATATTGTTAATTTGTTATAAATTAATATTATAATTTCAAAATTCAATATATAATTAATATTTTAAATATTTAATATAGTCCTTTTTATCAAAATAAAAATATATTAAAATATCAAGAGAATCCGGTAGAAGGTTCGTGGATATGGACGTTGTGAACCGAAGTTCGAGGAAAGGCAAAGTTAAAGCCACCTCCAACGGTTCGAGCTCACGTGGTTCTCAAAGAAGACACTCTGTCTCTTCCTTCCCTACTATCCCTGATCAATTCATGAGCGACGCATCCTATATCTATCTCTTAGAAATGGTGTTCGATGTTTAAAATGATGGTAGAGAAAAATAGAAGTGGACATGTCAAACAAAGTAAACTGGCCACAACCTAAAGGAGAAGCTAAATCCTATACACCGCACTGCCAAACACACTCGAAGTACCATAGCTTCTGCCATCAATGCACCTTCCGCCCTTCACACTCCACGATGAGCCCTTCCGGCAAAATGCCAATGCTCATCGCATACCATTCCTATCTATGTGGCCTCGTGCTCAAGCTGAAACTAGCATTCACGTACAATTTAATTAAGACGCTAAGGTCTGGAGAGTAAGCGTAAAATTTATAATTCTATGAAAAGATATTTATTTTTTCATTAGATAAATGATGATTTACATGTAAATTAGTGTATAAATTTTACTCCGTTTGAATTAAATGCACAACCAAATAAGGTTTGCAATATCAAGTGACTAAACTTGTCAAATAAAACTCTCTTTTCAAAACTAAAGGAGGTTCTAATTAAATTATTTTTTTTATCAAAATTTATAAATTTTGACCATAAAGTTTAGAAAAAATATTTATATTTTACTATTACGTGGTCAAACTCTTATCTTCTGGCATTGCTTTATAAAAATTGGATGTTGGTATGTAACTACTATTTTATTTTACACCAATTATCATATAAATCAAATTGAAAATAACTTTGGTCAAATACTTTGGGAACTTTTTTACTTTGAGAACTTTTTACATGCTTGCTTAAGAGATCATTATGACTTTTGTGGTATAACAAAAGTTATATAAACATGAACACAAATTAGGCCTACATTCATTCATTTTTATTCATTTTTATTTTTTAAATACATCAAAAAAGCCAAAGACAGAGTGAAGTATGTTCTATGAGAAAGCTATTTTTTATACCGCAGGCTAGCTAGCTAGGCTTGTTTAAATAAATTTCACAACAACTAGGAATCACCATTCATCTTCCAATCATGAAAGAAATCACAATGGCAGTATCTAATATTCTAAGAAGGTGTTATTAGCAGATGGAAAACCTTTTAGAGTCCTATTTACAGCCATATTATCTGATCAAAAAAAAAATGTTTTGCTTTTATAAAGAGATGAAGAAGAAGAAGAAGAAGAAGAAGAAGAACAAAAGGATTGATCAATCAGAATAGCTAATTAACAGGGCAGACACTGGTGGATAAACTCTGAACAGCTATCTATCTCAAGGTGTTCCCATGTCGATCTTCGCCTCCTTCTCCATTTCATGAAAGACTTTTATGATGTTTAGTGACTGGTTTCGAATGGCTTTGCTCCAATGGTTCTGGCTGTTCCTCTCCAATGCTGACAAAACTATGGGAACAGTCGCGTGCTTGGCATGCATGATAAGTTTTAGGACGCTTTCGTTTCCCCATAAGAGATGTGCTCGTTCGGCAACCTGAAAATGCCAGACCAAACGACTAACTCCATTAGTATGAGGCTTTTTGGGAGGTACCCAGGAAGAGGATTTTGATGAAGGGAGGAAATGAGAGAGATTTATTGTACCTGGAAGTGGAAACTGTTGAGGCAAGATCCTATACGTCGAAATAGAGGGGTTGCGATCTTCTCAAACTCGGAGAAGCTTATCATTTCCAACACCTCTTCTATCTCGCCGATGAACATTACCTCCTTTTGGCTATTGGTCAAAGGCCAATACCTCAAGAGTCTTGTAATCACTTCGCTTGCAAGACTCTGCTCCTTTTTGACAAACTGCACAATGCAGTACGTGAGCTGTTGATGATACACACCTAATGACTTTGGCTTGTGTAAAGGAATTAAAGCTCTAGAGAAGATCGACTTGTGCTCCTCCTTTAGTGGCAAGGCGAAACCGGTTATGACACTCCCAAAAACCTCCAACAGCTCTGCTATCCCATTGTGACGCTGAGTCTCAAAAACAAACCGATAAAATGAGTGACTCATAGCTTTTCTGATAAAGGGTCTGTGCGTCATAAACTTCCCATAGAGTCTGTGAAGGACTGATTTCAAGAACTCTCTTTCTCTTGGGTCATCGGATTCAAACAGATTTAGCAGTTTTGTAATGAAAGAATGGTCTATAGATTTCTTGGCGACCTTCGGGTCAAGAGAACTTAGGCTCAGGTAATGAAGGAAGAGATCATAGACAAGCTGCAAATGGTGCCAGGCAGGATAAAAGAACTGTTCTTCTTCGTCTACGAAATCACCACGACCATACTTTGGTGGGAAATCTCTGAAGAGGTTAAATGCACACATTCTACAAACTGCAGCTATTGCTGGTTCAGTGGTGCATTTAGCTGATCCTGAAGTGACATAATCGTTGAGATCAATCAACATTTGGGATTTCAAATCTTTCTTGTTTGGATCAGTGGAATCATACATTGAGCAGCAGAAGTTCAGCTTACTGATAAAGAGCCTTAGCTTCTCCCCATTTGACACATCCTTGAAGCTCAAGTGTGGAGAGATGGTCTCTCTCTCTCCCCCACCAGTTGGAAAAATGGCAGATGACACGCGTTTCACTACATTCAGATGACGGCTCCCTATGACACTACAGCTGTTGGTAAACTGCATCCCATTGCCAGTGTTTGCAGGAGAATCATCATTATCTTTGTTGTTGTTCCTTAGCAGGTCTTGAGAATCAGATTTCAGTGATTTTCGAGGAATTTTTGAAAGGATTTGCTTAAGCATAGTGAGTTCGTAACAAATCAGAACTCCTCTTTGCTTCAATACCCAATCTAAAGCCTGCATTGCACACAAAGGAAATCACGCGGTATGTTAGAGTATAAAGCCTTTTTCAGAGTAAATTTTGAGCTTTTGATTGAGTTGTTTACTTAACATATTATCAAAATCTTGTTGACCTAGAGGCCATGAGTTCAAACCTCACCCACACGGCCACACCCAGTTCACAAAATAATATTCACGGCGTGTTAGAGTATACAATCTTTCTTATGGCAATCTTGAGTTTTTAGTTAAGTTAATTCCTTGATAAGGTATAGCAAGAAAATACTGAAATTTCAGAACAGGGACCAACAAACTCTATTGTCTACAAAAATGTTCACAGTGCATGTAAAAAAACTCAGATCTGATGCAAAAGTCATCAAGTAACAAGCACAAGAAGAAAGAGCTGAAGAAATTAATGGGATTTTTCCATAAAGACTAGTAACATATTTCACTACATCAAAACTAACCAATAAAAAACCAATCTTTGACACATTTCTAGCACAATAAAACACTGAATTGCTTAGAGATTCAAAGTTTAATTAGTGTCGGTGAGTTCAGACCCCAAAAAGATTCAGAAATTTCCCAAATGGGAATAAATCTTGGGAGAGAGAGAGAGAGAGACCTGAAAATGGCATGTATGAGATAATTACTGGATCAGGAGCAGAGTGACAAGGAAAGAATGGCTTATGGCTATCATGCTCTTCTTTTAGCTTTGGATTCAAGAAGACAGAATGATGGCTGCCATGGGTTTTGGAGCAGGAAAAGGCTCATTTTCTCTCAACTTTTTCTTTTTTTTTCCTCTTTCCTCTTTTCTGGGGCACACATGAAATGTTTAGCAGCAGCAGACCTGTGTTTTTTTTTATTTCTTTGATTTTATCTTTCTTTTTTTGTCTATTATACACAGCATTCACTCATTCATGGGTACCATTCACACACTCTCTCTCCCATAATTGATTAACTGTACGAAATATTTCCATTTATTCATCTCATAATCTTAGTACGCAGCAAAAAAGGATATGGCCTCTTCAGATACGGTTATTGAGAGGAGATAAATTGAGTTTTGATCACAGAATGATAGCAAAGAATGGAACCTACACCTGATACTTAAAGAGACCATATGCTTAACAAAATTGACTCGCAAGACAGTTGTCAGGAATTGAACTTGTGTTTTAACCCTTGGCTTCATAAATAATATTCCTTCCATATTTGAAACATTTTTTCTCTTTTCTTTTTGGAATGTTTAAAAATAAACTTTACATTTCAGCACATTTTTTTAGAAACTCGATACTTTCTTTTGAGACACCGTTTGGTATATAGAATTTAAATCATGAAATTATAGTTGGAGACTTCAAATCCAAATCTATATTCTATGATAGCACAAAAATATGTTGACTTCTGATTAATGTTAAATTCCAAAATTTTCAATTCCACATTTCAAATTCCATTAGGTCCCGTTTGGTACATGGAATTCAAACTATGGAATTAGAATTGAAGAGTTCAATTCAAATTCTGGTGTTTGGTAGAACAAAAATTATGTGGATTTGGAATTGATAGTGCAAAAAATGAATTTCAATTCCATAGAATTGAATCTCATGGAATTTCAATTCCACTTCTATCAATTTCATATACCAAACGGACCCTTAAATAGGAAAAAGAATAAAATTCACAATTTGAACTCCACGTGTCAAATAAAATCATATGGATTTTTTTGAGGTCATAATAAAGAAAAAAAGTCTTATAGAGTTTGTGCCACTCAGTGTGTTTGAAATATGGCTTTTCATGCAGTTTTGACTTCTTTGACTTACGTTAAATTATTTGACTAACCAAATAACCCAAATTAAAAATTAAAAACTATAAATTAAATATTAAGAATAAAAAAGAAAAGATTAAATATTAAAATTAAATATTACAATTAAAATTTAAAACTAAAAGGTAGGAACTAAATATTAAAATTTTAAATTAAATACTAAGAATTTAAAGTTTAAAACTCAAAAAAAGTTAAAAAGTTAAAAATCAAAAAACCAAAGTTAAAAATTAAAAATTTAAAAAAACAAAACTTTAAACTAAAAATTAAAACATCAAATTTTAGATTTTAAAAAATAAAAATTAAAAATTAAAGGTTAAAAACTAGAATCAGATATTAAAATTCTATACACACACATGTGTGTGTGTGTGTGTTTGTGTGTGTGCTCAAATCTTGAAATAGCTTTATGAAAATATATAATTTCATCAAACTTTTTAGCAATTTGCCAACACATCAACTAGTCAAAATGACTAAGCTTATTAGTTATTCAAAATAACTAACACAAAGAGCCAATTCCATATCAATTCTATATCAATACGACATACTCCCTCCGTCCTAAAATTAACTTCTCATTTGATTTTTCACGGTCTTCAATGCGACACTTTGACCATTAATATCTCCATTTTTATATGAATATATATATTATCAAAATAATATATTTCAAGACTATGTTTCAAAATGAATCTATTGATACTAAATTTATATTAAAATTCAATATATTTTTTCGTAATATGCAGTCAAAGTTTAAAAACTTTGACTGCAAAAGTCAAAATCAGAAATTAATTTCAGGACGGAGGGAGTATAATTTTTTGTCACTAAACAAAGCATTTGAAATTATCATAGAGAGTATAATTCTATATCAATTTCTTAATCATACGAAACAAATGGTGTTTTGAAATTTAAGTAGTTATCAGTTCTATCTAATCCAATTCCATAGAATTGAATTCTAATATAGTCTTAATTTCGTGTACCAAATGAAGCTTAAATAAATTTCAATATCATGCTTTTCATTTTCATCCATTTTTGTAACATTTTTCTTAATTTTTGTGAAATCAAGGCCGTTGACACGACACAAAGAAAATGAGCACTTGTGTAATTGATGGTTCCTACCTCTCGTGAAACCAAACTATTATATTTTTTCAAAGACGGAGGGAATACTAAATAATTACGTAATCTTGGAATATTTATATAAAATTTTAAATTACTAATAATATTGACATCAACTTTTAGTAGTGTAAAGTTTGATATGATACTCGGTATGATCCTAAGATCTACTCCGTATATCTAAAATATATGCCAGTAAATGTCTAATTTTTGTGGTCCTTGAATCTATCCTCATTTTATAAATCTTAATACATAAAATGATTATATATATTGGATAATGTAAAAATAAATACATCCAATCATAGTTCATATGAAAGTATCTAAGTTTGTGCACATTTCACATGCTCATTTTAGATAACACAACTCCATAAAAGTTTTTATATTAGGCTATTAAGAACCATTTTGAATATATTTTCTTGAACACACATTGAGCTTGATGCAGAGAGATATACACTCATATCATCTATAAGAGAGTTGTAATTCTAAAGTGTATAGATATTATCACACTGACCCGACTTTGTATTTTATATTCTTAAGGTAGTGTTGATTCATGTTATTCAATTTTCATACTCCTTGTAATCGGTCGAAGATATCCGTTGCAAAATCTTCATTGAACGGTTGGAGATAGCCGTGGTGAAATCTCCGAAAGCGGTCAAGGACATCCGTGAAATCCCTGTTGAGACGGTTGGAGATAGCCGTTGAAAAATCTCTAGGTTGAACCGTTGAAGACATCCTGCAAATCTTCGGTGCACGGTTGGGGATAGCCGTTGGAAAATCCTCAAAACTAGTTGGATACTTCAAGGCGTGAAGTATTGTCGACCTAGTATAAACCTATTGGCAAAGGTTTGTTTGCCAAAAACTGGTTCCATCGTGACAATCGTGTTGAGACGGTCAAGGCGTTCTAGTGGATTGGAAATCCTTAAGGAGGAGTCTTAAGGTACTGGAGTAGGGAGTTCCCGAACTAGTATAAAATCGGTGTGCATTTTACTTTACGCCTTTATTTTTGCATTTTATATATTGCTTTCGCATTTACCAACACCGTTTTTATCAAACTCCGAAAGGATTTTGAACGCCTTATTCATCCTCCCTCTAAGGCGTAGGCACAACAACTAATACCAAATAACAAACTTTTTCACAAAAGTACTTGTACTTTAATTTTACCATTCTTTCACTAATCTTCGTGTGCCCATTACCATGTGACCTGTAGGTCATTTTGGGTCAAATTGCAAAATTTGATTTTTTATTTTTTCACATTAATCCTCTTTTTTTCTTTTTCTTCTCCTTACACTCACATAATTTATATCATTTTCTTTTTCAACCTACTCCCCTTTATTTCTCTCCTTTCTTTCCCCCCTCTTTTCTTTTACTTTTTGTTTTTTTTCCTTTTTTTCTTTTTTTATTCGATATTTTTCCCTCTTTTCTTTTGCTTCTTTTTTAATCCTTTTTAACTCTTTATTTATTTTTTTTATTCATACACACAAAATGAACAAATCCAAGTTTAAATTATTTTTAATTTTTTTTATTAAAAAATATATAAAAGTAACAAACAAAAATGGTAAGAAAGAAAAAAAATTAATTACTCCGTACTTATTTTTATTTTATTATTATTATTTTTTGAAAATTATATTTTTTTTCTTGTTCTCATCTTTTATTTAATAGGCTTGCTTTATTTAATTACTTTCTTTTTATTATTTACAAAAAAGATCGATAACAAACAAAAACATAATAAATATCATTTTTGAATTAAAATGATCAATAAAATAATACCCATTAATCAATAAATTAAAATAACTAAACTAAGAATAAGTGACACATAAAAAGAACAACCCAAAAAAGAATCTAAATTTCAAATAATTTCTTACTTAATTTTTATAAAAAAATAAATATATAAAAATAACCAACAAAAAAATTAAAAGCAAACAAAAAATATAAAACAAAATAATAAAACAAATAAAAAACAAATAAACAAAAAAGATGGTTATTCACAGAAAATATAAAAAAACATACAAAAAATTCACAAAATAACACATAGCCAAAAAATTGATAATATTAAAACATCAAGAAAAAAGATAAAAAAACAAATAAAAAAGTTAAAAAAAAAACAAACAAATAAGATCGAAAAACTATGAAACAAGAAATGGTACTCTAGGTCTTATTTTTTTGTTTGTTTTTTCTAAATTTTCTCTTGTCTTATTTTTTTCCATTATTTATTTATTTATTTAGGGCTTATTTTATTCACTTGTTTTGTTTAATTATTTACAAGAAAGATTAATAAACAGACAAAAAACATTAACAAACAAAAAAACTTGAATAAAGCAAACAAAAGGTTTCATTTTTTTGTTTATTTAAATTGACTAAATATAAAATAAAACAGCTATTAACAAAAAAAAATAAAAGATAAAGGACAAAATAACAAAACATATAAATAAAGGAAAAGAGAAAGAAAAATAAAAAATAAAACAAAACAAAGAACCAAAGTGAGAAATGAGAAAAGGGGAAAATGAATAAATAATAAATAAAGATTTCAAAAAGGAACTAAATAAAAAAAAGCAAATGGAAACAAAGAAAGAAAATTAAAACAGTGAAAAAAAATTTGAAAAGGAAAAAATAAAATAAAAGGACAAAATGAAGAAAATTAAATAAAAAGTAAATAAATGATAAAAGGTGAAAATGAATAAAAAATAAATAAAGAGTTAAAAAGGACCAAAAGAAAAAGAGAAGCAAAAGAAAAGACAGAAAAAATAGCGAATAACAATAAAAGAAAAGAAAGAAAAAACAAAAAAAATAAAAGAAAAGATGGGGAAAAGAAAGGGGTGTGGGTTTGAAAAGATCAAGATATAAATTATGAGAGTGTAAGGAGAAGAAAAAGAAGAATTGGGAATCAATGCGAAAAAATAAAAATTCAGATTTTGCAATTTCGCCCAAAGTGACCTGCTTGTCACCTGGTAATGGGCAAATAAATTTTTAGTAAAAAAGATGGTAAAAATTCATGTACTTTTGTGAAATCTTTTAAGTTCATATACCAAATCGAAATTTTTATGAAAGTTCAGGTACTATTTTTGAAATTACCCACCATTTCTCAGAGGCCTTCAGTTCTCTTCGGCTAGAATGGGATAGTTGGCCTGCCTAAGGCACCAATATTAAAGTTGCAGTTTGTTCCCCTAATCTGATCTGAGTTGTTTTTTTTTCAAGTTTTGGTCAGGTCTGATTGGATCTGGTTCTAGCTACATTTAAAACTGTCTCTCACCTGATTTGATCTAGTCTGATTTTAATATGAATAAGTCGAACGGAATGAACCCTAAGACACTCTCAAGTTGCTATGGTTTGATAATGAAGTGTTTTGAAAGGTGGCCTAGCGAGTTTGGCCGAGCCATGTATCGTGGGTTTATCAGTCTTAAACTTGTCCAAAGAAAAAATCATATAAACACTCTAAATAAATAACATTTTATAAGAATAATTTAAAAACATATCGAGAAACATTTAGGTCTGTGAATACGTCAGAATTTATTATGAAGTTGCATAAACGTAAATATGGTTTCAGAAAAGGTATGCAAAGTACGTACTCTCTATTATGGGCGCCGTCAAAAGATTAACATCAACTTTACGTAAATGTTGTTTCTCTTAAAAATCAAACTCGGTATCTGTTTTTTGATTATCGTAAATAATTTTTTTAAAAAAATCATATGGAGTACTATAATCCCCAATTTTAATTTTTGGGTGATAATTATACATGAATTTATCCATACACAAAGTGCAAGTAATCATCCATCAATGTCATTTTTGAGGACAAATTGATACCAAATTTGGGGCAGATTTTGTCAATTTCCCTAATTAGAAATTGGTAAGAGCAACGAATGATGTCTTTGAAGGGGAGTCGGTAGAGAGTTGCAAGGGGATATTTTCTTCGCTCGTTCTGGAGACGAAGAAGAACAAAATTGCTCTGACAGAAAATAAGTAACCAGAGGGAAACAGAAAATTTGAAATTCTATCATTTGGGTCCGATTGATCGTCACAATTCACCCGTAAGCTCTCAATCCTCTCCATTAATTTTGTTTTTATTGTATTTGACTGTTGTTTACACGAATAGATTCCGAAGAAATTGTTTTTTCCCATTGGATTTCCATATCATCGCGTGAAATGAGCATCCCAAAATCTTGCTTTGAATTACTTGTTGCACCGTGTTAGGGATCAAGATGTCTAATTTGATTCCTGTCATGATTTGGGGTTAATGTTCTAAACTTGATGTGTAGATTAAACAAAAAAAAGGATTGCTTTCAAGTGGAGAACATGTTATTCGTATCCATCCTTGAGGTGTTCTTTTCCTTCAAGAGACTGTTTGGTAGGTAGGAATGTTAATTCAAAAGGTGAGAACGTTTTCGCATGTTTATGGTTTTATAATGCGCTCTCTCATAAAAAATTCAAGGGTTTTATGTGAATTAAACTCTATTATGAGTCAAGGCTCTTCATATGAAGGTGACTTAGAGCTACTCTTATGTTTAATTCCAGGGTAAGTGTTGGTGTCCCATATTTATTTGTGTGAATGGATGTGAGCTGTGAAGAAACAAGTGGTGAAAACACAATCGATACATACCCTTTGCTCATGGAGAGACCTGAAAACAATCAAATGAATGAGCATGTGATTAACATAGAACGAGTCGGTGATCCTTCATCATCCGACTCTTCTGACTACGAAACTCCTCGTGGATTGAGTTCATCTCAGCATCAAGATAGACCGTCTTCTTCTTCATCGGTAGGATCAAATGCTCAGAATCACTCTGTCACAAGGAGAGGTGATGGGTCAAATCGCCGTTGGAGCCCATTTAATACCTTGTTGTGGATTTCCATTGAGCTGGTTTTCACTTTAGGACAAATTATAGCAGCTGTTGTTGTTTTATCCATCTCAAGACACGAAAAACCACATACTCCACTGTTTGCATGGATTGTGGGGTATGCAGTTGGGTGCGCTGCAAGTATTCCTCTTCTGTATTGGCGTTATCACCGTCGTGATCATGTCACTGAGCGCAGCCCAGCTCAATTACGCCAAGGCTCACGCAGATCGGATCCTAATTCTTACATTACCTTCTCCTTGACCCAGTCCTCAGAGGATGAGGGTGCCCAAAATGCAACTGCAAACCATTCAAATGTGCTAAATAATGCAGCTCGAAATGAAAGGTAACTAACTATCCCTTCATGTTTTTGGGATGAATTATTGATTTGTGATAAGTTGGTGGATGTTAGATGATATTCTTTGTTGTCAGAACTCTGAATTCAATACATGCACCTTTGTTCCATTTTTGTCATTTTTTGTTGATCTTAAGGTTCTATTTGGACCCTGGAAAATACTAGCGAAGGAAAACATAGAGAGAAATGCTTATGAAATAAAATGTTGGTGAAGATAAAAGATAGGATAAACTCATTAAATTCACTTGTGTGTTTCGTAGATACTCATTTTAATTATCCATATCTATTACATTGTACTAGTATATGAAGACCAAATATATGTATGTTTAAATAAAACCAATCTTACCTCTTTTTCCTTTGCATTTTTTGTGGTAAAAACAAACACAAGAAACTAATTTTCCTTAGCCCTGATTTCCCTTTCCCGGGCACTTTTTGTGATCGAGGCATACATCACATACCTTAATTGACGGTAGAATGAGCTAGGCGAGCCACTCTAGTGCTGAACAAACATTCATTTAGTTTGTTTTAGAACATTGATTCTAACTTTTTTTTCTTGACAGGGGTTTTGCATATGTTAGCCACTTCAAAATGGCTTTGGATTGCTTCTTTGCAGTTTGGTTTGTTGTTGGCAATGTTTGGATCTTTGGAGGCCATTCCTCCTCCTCTGATGCTCCCAATTTGTATAGGTAATCTTATTGCTACTGATTCTGCTGTTGTTTGCCTTTTGATTTTCTTACACACCTGCAATGCTAACCTGTTGCTGGTACTCAAATCTCAGGTTATGTATAGTTTTTCTCACCTTAAGTTGTATCGGCTACGCCATGCCTTTCATCTTATGTGCAATGATATGTTGCTGCCTTCCCTGTATCATATCATTCCTTGGTGTTCGCGATGATACGAATGGAATGAGAGGGGCTACTGAAGAATGTATTAATGCTCTTCCCACATATAAGTTCAAGCGAAAAAGAAGCGGGGAGAGTGGATCTGGAGCTGAAGAAGGTGGTGTTTTAGCAGCTGGAACGGATAAGGAACGGGTCATATCCGGTGAAGATTCTGTAAGTTTGTGACTTGTAACATAGGCTCTCCATAAGTGCATAGATTATTGTCCCGTTTAAGCCTCCTCACCTATCATCAAATAGGCATTAGGATCCAGTCCGCCACCTAGGGGGCATTTCGCACTTGTTACAACATTGATTGTTGTGGACCCCTTGTGGGAAAAAATGGCATGAACTACACATGGCCTCTAGCCGTGGAGGATGTGCACCACTATGATAAAAATGTACTCCCTCTGTATATTTGTTTAGTTTGACTTGAACGAACTATGATCATCAATTAAATAAAAATTTAATTGCATTTTAATACAGTGAAATAATTTTTTGAAAGTTTTTGTAAAAAAAACAATGAAATCATACTTTTATTAATACGCAATGCAATTTTTATTTAATTGATGATCAAATTTTGTCTAGTTTGATTACAAAAAGTCAAACTCGACAAATACCGTGAGACAGTGTTGAAGAAAGTGTTATACTCCCCCTGTCCCAAAAAAACACTTCTCATTTCCTTTTCGAAATGTCCCAAAAAAAGACCCCTCTTTCCATTTTCGGCAAATTTTGTGTGGCCCAGCATCTTTCTCTCTCTTTCAACCACACAATTTTACTTTTCTTAACCTTTATGCCAAACCCAATTACTTTTCATTCATATTAGTTAAAATATGAATGAATGAACCCTTGTGTTAAAGGGTCTTAACCTTTTGAAAGCCTTTTGTGGTTGAGTTAGACCCTATTTTATTCCTAACCATTATATTAGGATTTGCTGCTAAGACATCTCCCGAACTGTTGTTGCAGGTTTGTTGTATATGTCTATCTAACTACGAGGAAGATGACGAGGTGAGGGAGTTGATGTGCACCCATTTCTTCCACACAGAATGTGTGGATAAGTGGTTGAAATTAAACGCATGCTGCCCGCTTTGCAAATGTGAGATTGGAGCTGAAAGTGAAAACTCTCCGTTGGCACCTGAACTTAGTCAACAAGTGTGAAATGAGTGCTTCATGAAATATTGAATAGCCATTGCTGCGACAAGGGGAAGCAGTCTTGTGGTGATCGGTAAGCCAATGACAATACTACCCTTGGCAATGAAATCTTGAAAATCCGAGCTAGACTTATCAACATATGATAGTACTCGGTTAGAGAATGTTCAAATCAGATATCGTGAGCTTCAATGATATTTTTTTGCATATGATCTTGTGAATTCTGAGGTTGAGTTGAGATATTTCAATTTGAATGATCTAAAGGTTTATGTCAAATTAGGGGTTAAAAATGCGGGAAAAATGCCCAGTGGCAGCGGATCGGTGTGACATTGCTTTGACATTTCCAAGAACGCTATTGCTCGTACTTTGTTACTTGTAAATGGATATATATAGTGGTAGAAACTAAAATACTTTAGCTATCCAACTCGTTGTGCTTTCTAAAGAATTACTTCATGCATCACTCTAGCCAACTCTTATTTGGGCTCACTTGTTATATTATGACACCGGAGACTACGATACTCTGTTGGGCTCGGGTTGGGTTACGGCTGCAAGGTAAGGGGTGGGTGGTATTAGTCACTTGGGGGCTTGATTGTTGCCAACGGTAACAGGTCGGGGCTGGGGTATGGGGTAGGGTGGGGCTCTTCGGCGGTAGATGAGGCCACGAGGGTAGGTGTAGGGGTAGTACCCAAGCCCAACAGAGCATCCTAAGGTCTCAATATCATAGTATGACGTCGAAATTCGATGTCAGAATAGTCGGGCTTATATGATTTATTATAAAACATAAGTTGTTTCAGAATTCACCGTTTCAAATTGCTTACCTAAACACCCCATTCAAGATCGAAGATGGAAATGTAGTTGTTTGTCTTCTTCCTTAGGGTCCGTTTGGTATATGGAATTGACGGAATTGGAATTGAATTGGAATTAAAATTCCATGAGATTTAATTCCATAGAATTGAATTCTGCCAATTCCAATTCATTTTTTGCAATATCAATTCCAAATCCACATAATTTTTGTGTTACCAAACACCAGAATTGGAATTGAAGTTTTCAATTCCAATTCCATAGTTTGAATTCTATGTACCAAACGGAGTCTTACATAACTTATTTGTCCCGAGGAAGAGTCCTATTTGAAAAAGAACTACTCCTTCGTACCAAATTATCGTATCAGATCGAATAATGTATAAAATTGTACTCCCTCCGTCCTAAAACTTTCTTCCCGCTGCGCAAAACGAAGAAAAATCCCAAGTTTTTTCAATCTATTTTATTTAAATATTGGTATAGAAATAAAAAATAAAACATACATATTTAAAAACTCTATCAAAAGTTCAACAAAATAAGTGGTGACAAGAATATTTTATTTTATCATATAGGCCATGAAAAAGCACAAATAAATATAAATTCCCGTGAAGTTGGAATAGTGCTCTGGGAAGAAAGTTTTAGGACGGAGGGAGTATTTCTTTTAAAAGTACTTTATTTATAAATTAGTATAGACATAAAAAGTAAATTACATATTTAAAAACTAAATTAAAAGTTTTGCCTAACAAGTGGTGATAAAAATATTGTATTTTATCAAATCATCAACGATAAAAAAACAAAAGCTATCGAGATATTTGAATAGTATTGTGATAATAGTTCTAGAGCGAAGGAAGTATTTTTTACATCATATTTATTTAACAATTTTTTAATGGTAAATCTTAGATAAATCGATCAATAAATGTGAAAATGTAGCTATAATTAATTGTTCTAAATAGTTGTATGATATTGCGTACTATAAAGTAAATATTAACAATAATATTACTAAAACATGACTATTTTATGCGACGGAAGAGTAAACAATACCATCACCATAAGTATTTATAAGTGTAAATACCTTAACTCAACTATACTGGTTGTATGGTACCTCGTAGCTTTTTAGAAATGACATTGCCAGATAAGGTAAAAAAATATTATATCACCGTCTATTCTAATATCTCACTTTCAAATGTTGTCACATAGCATAACAATACTACATAACACAACAATAAAGAGAAACCATATCTTTTTACCATGTCAACATATAAGCATCTAAAGAAAGATGACATTTTTGGGAGAAAGAATCTCCAACCATTATCTCACAGGAAACTAAAACATTTTCGTAAGTCATGATCCCATCTTCGTAAGTGTAAACTTAAAGGGTATTTGCAAAGAGAACTACTACAAGATTTTTTTGCCTTGGCAAAATGATAAAAGGATTCTTGGCAAATAAGTAAGCATATCCATTAATCAAAAAAATCATCCTAAATAGGACTAAAATATGAAGAAAGTACCAAAAAATGAGTTCCATGTTTTTATTTTCTAAATAAGAGTTCACACTGCGATAATGTAGCACTGTACATGTGCATTTTACGTAATGTACATGTCATGATTGGTAATGTAAATGTACTTTAACTTCTATTTTGAAAATAAAAACATAGAACTCTTATTTTGGTATATTTTCAATGTTTTACTCCTTCTTTAGTCTTTTTTGCTTAACAAAAATGAAAACCATAAGAGCGATAAATGATTGCTCTTCCAAACCACATCAGACATCAACAGAAAACCAAGTTTGCAAAGAATAATGAAGATTTGTACAGCCTCCTGGTTATATATGTATAAAAAAAAGAACCTAATAATGTTAAATAAATAGCTTAAAAGTGCATATTGTAGTAATAGAGAACACATTACTACTATGCAGCTTCTTTTTTAAGGCAAGAGAAGACAATTGAAATTGGAAAGTAAGGTAACTCACAAAGACCAACTTAAGATGATGCTGAATTTTCTACCCCTGTAGTTCCAACATTCTGGATAACAAATCCATATATCTTCATCTTCAAGCTCTCGATCTTCTCCACCAACGCCTCATCTTTCTTGGAAATGCGGTCCAACCACACGTTAACTCTCTTCAGCTGTGAAAGAATGGCTGCAATCGGGCCACACTTGAGGCCTCCATCAGTACTGCCAGCTGATTGGGAAGGGCATTTCTGGAACACCTGAAACCCAACTTCCAGCGAGTCCTTGACGAACCCGAGGAACCATAGCTCCATCTCCGACTGCAACTTCTTAGCTAGTTCCAGAGTCTCATTCATTCCCTCGCCCCGTTTCCAAACTGAAGAAGAAGAAGAAGAAGAAGACACTGTACGAGAAGGTGGTTTGTTGGATGATGGCTTGGTATGTTTCTTGGATGCACTTTTGTCGAGTGGGGATGATGGGCGAAGTTCAAAGTTGTGGTTTGTTAAGAGGGAGACTACTTCAAGATCAGTTGCTAGTGCAGCTTCAACCCAAAGAGAGGATGGTTTGTTATTGGACTGATCAGCTGAGTTGTTTTCATGAGGTTTTGATGGAGTGTGGGCAATGGTGACTGACTCAACAACTGAGCTTGATTTCATAACATCTTCATAGAGTGACAAAAAACGGTCGATTGTAGGCAAAGGACTTCCGGGCTTCTTTGAGCTTGAACAGAGATCAGAAAACATGCTGCCAAAAACAAGTGATGAATTTCATTGTTATTTGTTAATGTTAAGGAAGCAAACAGGGACTAACCACTGTTCCATAAAGCATGTCCAATCCTTCTCAAGAAAATGCACATCTAAATACAATGAGCAATTATATCATCAACTAGTAGTCACCTTATTTGAACTGTTCTTCATTGTCAAAAAATTTAGATTTGATTATGGCAATATAAATTTGTATCATATCAAACTAAAGAGCCCATTTGGCATGGCAACCAAAAGGGTCTTCTTCTATGGTTGAAATGGATTTTACCAAAAGCTTTTCACTCAGCCATGTCCTAAACAGCCCAGGCTCTCTAAATTAATCAACACAAGTTGATGCAGTTACCTCAAACCCCTAACAATGGACTCAGTGGCAAGAGCCTCTTCTAAAGCATCAGCCGCAGCCTTTGCAGCAAAAACTCTCCTTTGAATAGCTTCCTGCAACCATATCATCATCTTCTTCATCATTCAAACCTCAAATTCGAAGATCTTCATGTTCTAATTATGTTTCATTGTTTAAATCACAGTTTGTGTTAAAGAAAAAAACCATGTCCATACCTTTCCAAGTCTTGCAAGGTCTGAAGTGAGCGAGTCCAGGGGAACACTTCCATCAGTCCATTTCTTCTCATGAATCGGTATAACCGGACTCACATTAATCTTCTCTGATTCTTGAAAACTTTCAGCAAATTTAGTTTTTTCATCGCTTAAACCGTCATCTTGAGATACACTTGCATCACTTAAACGCCTGGAGATGGCAGCCTGAAAAGCTAGAAGATTAGAACATGGAGGAAAACAGAAAAAATCACAGAATGAACTTTAATAGTAACACAAAATGGGATTTAAAAAAATAAGCTGCAATTTACCTGAGTTCTGAGAATAGCCTGCAAATCGGGCTTGGTCCTGGTGGACTTGTGATCGGACGATCCGCCTGAGACTGCCGGACCATCATCCCAGCTCTTTCTAGTGGATTTGGTGGATCCAACTATTGCCTCGGAAACCTTGGAAATTCCGGCAGCAATGGCTGTAATTTTCTTTTTCCCGGAAGGATCCTTTAGACCACCGGATAACCTCCGCCCAGGCGAAAGAGACATCCTTCTAGAGACCACCGGACTCGCCTGCCTCCTCCCCGTCGTTGGTGATGGCTGCCGGTACCGTGACGGCACTATTATGGCGGCCTCCCTCGACGTCCGGCGATTCTCCTCCTTGGCCGCCACGAGGCTGGGCACTACACACTTAGAGGGCACCGGCGAAGCTGACCTCTTAACTTTTCCGGCCGGAGACGGATCTCTCTCGACGACTGCAGTTTTCTTCCCGGACGATATTGACCTCTGTCTCACAGATCCGGGAGACGAAAACCTATGAGGAGCCGCCTGAGCCGGAGTAGACTTCTCCGACGAAGTTTTATTCGAGACATCATCCACATCTACATTCTCCTTCCCGGAAAACACTTTTCTACCACCAATTTTGTCCTCGTCCTTTCCGATCCCCTTAATTTCATTCTCACCTCTTCCAATTCTCGGGAAACAAGCAGCAATCGGATCGGAATCCGACACAGGCTGGATAACAAACCCCCCATTCTTCGGAGAAATCCGAGCAACCAGAGGCTCGGGAGACCCAACAGAGGAGCGCCGGCCGGCAATGGGGCGAATATTGACGGCGCGGGGGACAGGAGGGGAATCAAAGACGAAGCGGTCAACATGAACAAACTGACCTAACTGGAGACGATTGTTGAGAATGAGATCCGTGTCCCGATCAGACAGGGAGACGTAGGTGGAATTCTGCGAGTCGGAGAGTTGGACGTAGAATCCGTGATGCGTCCACAGGGAATCGGAAGTGGCCAGCGCCGGCACGATTCCGATCACCTGGAGGAGCGGCGAGCGGTGGTCGCCGGTGACTCTGGCGGTGGTGTTCATCGACTGGAGAAGCTTCAGGAGGATGCCTGGAGTAAGAGTGGCCATGGCTATGGAGATTAGAGGTTGCAGAGAGATTCGGAGAAGAAGAGAGTGAAAAAGGGGTGTGTATAGAAGAAGAAGAAGAAGGAGGAGGAGTATTATTATTTATCTTTAATTAAAAAAGATAAAAACAAATAAAATTGTTTTTGAATATTTGAAATGCATTGGTTTTGGAGGGAGTTGGAAGTTGGAAGTGCGTAACGGCTACGAGGAAGTCGCTGTTTCAAAGCGTGATTGGAGTCTTTTGCTTTCAAACTAAATATTTTCCACAAAATATAACCATCTCAAATATATACTCCTTTCGTCTATTTAAGATCTTTCGATTATGTATTACGAAGTTTAATTGATTTTATTTTAATTTAATTTATTTGATTATAAGAAAAAAAAATTAAGATAAAATTTTTATATAGTAAAAAAACTAAATTAAAAGTTTTATAAAACAAGAGATGACAACACTATATTATTTTACGAAATAAATAGTAAAAATAAGCAAATAAAGTAAGTTAAGTTTGACCGTGTGAATAATGTCCAAAAAGATCTATAACAGACAGGGAAAAGTATGAACTAGTATTTTTGAAAATTCCAACTTACTCAGGTAAAAGAGTGTTGCTAATTTCTAAAGCTAATTTCTCTTTTTTTGTTAAATCAACCTCATTTATAACAAAGTTTTAGTTTTACCTTTAAGTTACGGAGTAATTCACTTGTTGTCTTTTCTTATATTTTAAGTATAATTTGTCCATTTTTTACAAACAAAAAAAAGAGAATATAGATTTAACAAAAAGAGACGTTGATATAGCAACACCCATGAAACAATGTTTCAAAAATCGAGTTAGTACATATCAGGTATATATAATACACTACTTCAAAAACCTTGTTACTATAACTAAATCTAGACCTTTCGTTATTACCTATTACTCCGTATATATGTATATTTCTGCGCACATAAAATCGCCAGTTAATCTTATTTCCACCTAATTGACTAACTAATTAACTAATAAGTCGTTCGATTTAAATGAGAATGACGTTTTTTAAATAATGTATCCTACCCTAAAAAAAGAGTATGCCATTTGTTTCTCAAATAAAAAAAGAAAAGTTTGGACGGTTTAAAACATAGGTGAAAGTTTTGAGTAATGCTACAATCATAAATAACTTAGACATAAACTACACAAAATTATTATTTTTTTACTTTCCTAAGTGAATAAAATGATTATAAATCATTTAAAAGTAAGAATTTATATACACAAATGGAAAATTTGTAAAGTTTGTATTTACATTGTTTGTAGCTCTAGAATTATTTGAAAGTTTTGTTTTTGGACAAACAAAAGGTTTAGATTAGAACTCCTTGTGTTGAACGATCAATATTTAATGAAAAACATATTTAATGAGAAGTTACTTATCACTAGGGGTGGGCACGGATCGGGACGGTCCGGATTTTAGGTGGTTCCACGTATAGTCCCGTTATATATAAACAGTCCAGAACAGTTCGGATTACAATCTTATCTCGGTTTGTCCCCCAAAATTCGGGATCGGAATAAAACGGGACGGATTCGGGTTCTCCTACTTTGTCCTAATCGCAAATATAAGAAGGGGGAGAGGGTGTCATTTCATTCAAAAAAAGAGAAATATTTAGCCATCCAACAAAAAACAATGAGTGAAATGAGACCAAATAAATTTAATAAACTTTGAGTTGAAATCTCAAACTTATGAACTTAACTCAATTAATTAATTAAAGAATGAATGTATTTGGATTTTGGACTAGAATTAGTATTATATATTAGTAGAGTAGATGAAACGGGACAAACGGGATGGATCGGTATAAATTTAAGTTGTCCCGCTCATGTCCCATTTAATAATATTGGGACGGAACGGGTTCAGGATAAAAAAAGTGTGTCCTAATTATTCGGAACAATTACAAAACGGATCGAAGATTTTTTGGAAGGATCCAACGAGAACAGATTTCACGCTCACCCCTACTTATCATATCTGACTGTTATAATTTATCTTTAAAGTAGAATGTTCCGTTAGTATCTTTTCTTTACGTACTTCTTCCTATTTTTAAATACATAGAACTACTCCCTTAAGATTCTTCAAACATCGACCTCTCACTTAGAAAAAAGTTATAATAATATCGTTGTACTACAAAATTTTTGGTATCCCATTTAATTGTTGACAAAAGAGTTTACAATACTTGATTGATATTACTTTGAAATCATTTTATTTAAATATTATTGTAAAATTGGAAAACCAAAAAAAGAGAATAGTTTGAAAATTGAAAAAAAAACAAAATTACATATTTCAAAATTTCTCCATATATAAAAAAAAATCTACTCCCTATAAAATACGAAGTGACATGAATATATTATTTTTTCAAATTTTTCCAAAAAAAATATTGTTTTATCAAATACTTCATTGTTGAATAAAAAATACTCCCTCCGTCCCGAAATATATTACAATATTCCCTCACATTTTTGTCCCAAAAAGAATTACAAAGTCAATAACTTTACAATGAATTGACTCTTTTACCCTCCCTCCCCTTTTCTTTTCTACCAGCCACCCACATCTGATCTAGATCTAATCTAGATCTCTCGTCTCCTCACCTCTTCGTCTCCTCACCTCTGCCTCTCCTCACCTCTTCCTCTCCTCCCACTTCATCTTCTCCGATCTAATATCTACCTTTACGATTACAATGTCCCATCCATTGAAACGCGATCCATATATGCCCAGTTTTGATCTCTTGTCTCAAGAATCGCAATCTAGATCTATATCTAGATCACCTCCTGTTTCGAAATCAAAACTTGAGGTACGTGTTGAATCACTGTGTTACACTTCTGAGACGGATCCTACTTGGAGGTTTTGAAAGGAGTACAACTGTGTGGTTGTAGAAGACTCAATTGATGGTTTTGTGAGCGAAGAAGGTGAAGGGGAAGAGGTGAGCTCTGGGTATTACCCGGAAAAGATGACATGCACTGGTTATTTGTTCATGGACAACCCCAAAAAATACCTCATGGCCTTGATCCTTGCGGTATGCTTTCTTTTTTTTCTTACTCAAAGAAAACATGCATTTCATTGGGACTGATGATGATAGGGGGCTTATGTTTCAATACTAATATTCATGTTAAATTGACCCCTAATATTCATGTTAAATTGACCCCTATGCAACACAGTGTTCAAGGTCAATTTAACATGAATATTAGTATTGAAACATAAGCCCCCTATCATCATCAGTCCCAATGAAATGCATGTCTTCTTTGAGTAAGAAAAAAATAAAGGAAGACATACCGCACGGATCAAGGCCATGAGGTATTTTTGGGGCTGTCTATGAAAAAATAAACAATGCATGTCATCTTTTCCGGGCAATACCCAGAGCTCACCTCTTTCCCCTTCACCTTCTTCGCTCACAAAACCATCAATTGAGTCTTCTACAACCACATAGTTGTACTTTTTCAAAACCTCCAAGTAGGATCCGTCCCAGAAGTGTAGCACGGTGATTCAACACGTACCTCAAGTTTTGATTTCGAAACAGGAAGTGATCTAGATATAGATCTAGATTGCGATTCTTGAGAAAAGAGATCAAAACTGGGCATATATGGATCGCATTTCAATGGAGGAGACATTGTAATCGTTAAGGTAGATATTAGATCGGAGAAGATGAAGTGGGAGGAGAGGAAGAGATGAGGAGAGGCAGAGGTGAGGAGACGAGAGATCTAGATTAGATCTAGATCGGATGTGGGTGGGTGGCAAAAAAGAAAAGGAGAGGGAGGGTAAAAAAGTGAATTCATTGTAAAGTTGTTGACTTTGTAATTCTTTTTTAGACAAAAATATGAGAAAATATTTTAATCTCTTTTGGGATGAAGGAAGTACAAATTTTCTTCACCAAAGAGGGCCTTAGTTCTCGGTTTGAGTTCATGTGTTTATTCAAAAATTCAAAATGAAACAGTAACATTAAAGTCTAATTAAATACTGTAGAATATCAAAATTAGGGATGGAGAGAATAGTACAATTATTATTTTTTAATTTAAAATGTTGATGTTTTTCCCAGGTCAATTTAGATTAATAAAATATTCATAATTTTTGGAACATAGTGTAGTATCATGTAAATTTAAAAGAAATATTTTTTTCCAATAAAACTATACTCTGTATTATTTATATTAAAAATGGAAGAAAAATTAATGATAAGTGTGAAACACAAAATAGTGATATGGGAAAAATAAAAATAGAAAAATTGAAATAATGAATAAACTATAATAATAATACATGAAAAACATATTACTTTTAGAGTCATTATTTGGGAGTAAAGAGAGATTGAAGAATCGAAAACGTTGAAAAAACTGAAAGGAACTAGAAGAAGAAAAACTGAAAGAAACTGGAAAAAACTAGAAGAAGTTTAAATTCTAAAGAACATGTTCTTAAGTTTTTCGAAGCTAGTTGAGAGAATTAGAGCGGGCAATTAAAACAATTAGAGAGGAAAAATATACCTATGCATAAGAAAACCACGTAGGATGCCCAATCATCACTCCGTCGCCAGAATATGCCAATTCCAATCAGGGGTATCACTTTGTTACAATTCTAAATGATGGTGTGTGATTTTGTTACAAATATAAGATGGGGTACCTTTTTGTTACAATATCCAAAGTTGGGGACAAAGGCTCGGACCAGTAAAAAAACAGTCGTAATGGACACAGTTCTTTTCGACTGCAGTTTCATTCCCAAAAGCAAGTTGGGCACAAGCCAAATGAACAAGTTGGACTCTAGATCTCATATACACCAATACATATTTTTAGTCCCGTTTATGACGGAAAAGAGAATATAGAGAGAATGTTATAGTGACTTATATATTACTAAGAGGTATAAAGAAACCAGATTATATCACTCTCTTGATTTAAACTTCAAACCCATCGTATTTGAGTTATGTGTACACATAATTACAGATAGCTTGGAAGAAGGAAACAAAGGAGAAGACAGGGGAAATTGTTTCTTTTGAACTCTGATTTGTAGAAAGATTTAGGCTACAAAGAATAGGAAAATAATGAGGAATACTATCAATACCAGGAAAATCTTGATCATCAGCCACCTGTTGGATGATATGCTGTTAAAGTACCTGACTAATTGCCCTTGTGCCCCTTCCACATTTGCCAGCGTGTCCTCCATGTTTTCATCAATCCTGTCAACTCCCATAAACTTCCCAAGTAAAACAGAAATCTTTCACAGAGAGGCTTTCATGTTTTGCAAGTATTTTGTACGTTGATTGGAGATTGGAGTTGAATGTTCACTTTTACTGTATTACAAGCATCTTTTGCAAAACATTTTACAATCATAAATAGAGGACCAACAAGCACTACATGAAGTGTGCCTCAAACTCCAAAACAAATGAGCCTTGTACATAATGTAGTGGTGTTCGTCAATTCAGTTTGGTCGGTGGTTTGGTTTTGAAAATGTAAGACCGAAAACAGAACCAAATAACTTACGTCCGTTTCAGTTGGTTTTGGTTTAGTCCTCTGTTGATTTTGGCCGGGTGGTCTTAACTCCCAGGCAAAACACAATGACATCTAATGAGGTTTACATGCTATACTTTTAAGTCTGACCACTCCAACTCCATGGAGGTTTGATTGAAAAAGGAAAAGTGGGCAGCAAATCACATGTTTTAGTATATCAGAATGCAAAGAAAACAAACCTAATTGCAAGTTCTCCTTGGTGAGAAACCATGGTTGCCAACTGGGTGAAAATGCTACTCAACTCATGAATAGTTGATTCAACACTATGAAGGGCCTGACTCCTGCTTTGCATGTAACTGTCCTGTAATGGAGCCACCTGTTGTTGCTGCTGCTGCTGCTGCACAGCTTGTTGCTGTTGTAGAAAAGGCTGGGATTCTCCATCCACCTTATCTCTGGGGAATAATACAACATTTAGATTTCGGATGCAATATATTCCTCCCTCAGCCCCCCCCCCCAAAAAAAAAAAATACATTTGAAAAGGTTCTGTACAAGTTACAACTTATGAAAGTCATGGAATCCTACGTACATTTTTCTATATCTCATCATAATGAACTTGCTTTTAAATTTTTGTTTTGCCAAATTACATGAAAGATACGTTCTGTTTTGTGAAACAGGACTTCTCTCACACAAAATAAGCTTTTGAAATATGACTCCTTTTGGGACAAATGGAGTTGGTATTGAAAAATAATAACGACATATGAAACCAACTTAAGTATAAAACTGTTGTATTCTAATGAAAAAAAGGTAAATAATAAGGCTAAATTATTACTAATGATACTTTATCCTAGCCTTTCTGATATTTCTCTTCATGCTTTGCACACCAAAGAGGTAACAAATTCATTTTGTGTTCTCCAGCCAAATTTTGTCTAGCAGCACAGGGAGTATTTCACTTTAAATATTTTTTTGTTTCTCCAGCCGAATATTGTCTAGCAGCACAGGGAGTATTTCACTTTAAATCATTGGTAGAATTCAAAAATGGAAGGAAGTGGGAAGGTGTACTCCTTTATGCCAATAAACTAAGTCAGAGAGTGGTTTTTACTTTTTAGTGATAGTGAAGTAATTTGATATCAAATGCTACACTTGAATGATGGCTGGTGGTTGGCAGATATTTAAAAAAAAACATGCGAACCAGCATGCACCTAATTAATCCAAGTAGGACACTTCAAATTTGACTATATGAGGATATCTTCATGTCTTATCCTTCAAAAGAAGGTAACAAAAGTACATAGATAAGGTACATCAACCTTGACAATAAATGGATACTACCTCTATCCCGAGAACTATAGTTAAGTTTGACCAAAGTACAATTTTAAGCTTTGGTAAGATACAACTATCATATATCAAGAATCATATTTACTCCCTTTGTCCTGAATAAGGTTTCACAATTGACCAGGCACAATTTTTAATAAATGTGAAAGTGTGTTGTTGAGTTTTGTGCATTGTGCAAAGGTAAGAGAAATTGTGTGAACCATAGAGTTTCTTCCTCAAAAGGAAAGAGGAATCTTGTTTGGGATAAAAAGAAAATGTGGAACCGTTTTGTGGGACAGAGGGAGTTCTTTTTTTTAATTAAAAAAAATTGTTAGCACTACTAGTCTAAATTTATCATATGCAACTTGCCTATGACTTGATTTTGCCAAATTTTGGCAAATTAAGAGAAACGTTAGGTTCGTTTGATCAAATCAGGCTCTTTTTTAATCCAAAAAATAACTTTTTGAAATGGACTCTTTTTATGGAATAGAGAGGAGGGAGTTGTATAGATGTGTTACCTACCTAAGAGGTAACTGATAAGAGGAAGCATAGTTGTTAACCCATGGAGGGGGAGATGTAGATGCAGAGCTACTAGCAGCAGCAGCTCTAGTAGCTATAGGACGCTGGCGAATGAAAGGATTGGCAGAATCCTTTGATGCAGTAGAAAAAAATTGCTGCCTTCTGTTCTCATGAACCTTCAAGTTCTGAAGTGAAAATATAATTGCAGCAAACTGTGAAAAGGCAGACCAAGCAACTACCTATCCAGATAAGGGGAATGATATTGCCAATCTAAGGCCTCACTATCGTCATCCATACAGAAGGTCAACAACCCAACATACCTCAGTCCGCATGGTGAGGACTTCTTTGAACTCTTTTGTGGTGCTCATTAAGCGATTTTTCAGGTTGTCAACAACAGTAGATGAATGGGTTGTAGTGTCCGTAGACATGTTTCCGTGTTCATTATGGGAGTTGCAGAGAAGCTGAAGATCTACCACAGCAGAATTAAGTGCGGTGATGTCCTGCTTGATCACAGCCGTCAACTCTTGAATCTCCAGTGTAGGATCATCAAAAACTGATGTTCTCTTTCCCACTGTAAGGATGCATGAAGTAATTAGGAATCATATTTGTTCTGCAAATAGGGAAAAACATTTGAGAACCAGACCTATATTTAATATTCAAGGGAGTCCTTTGCATGCATCCTAGATATACGGAGGCAAAAAGAAAAAAAAACCTATTTGATTGCAAATGAAAATGCTAAAATGACCTCATGTTGACAACCTCACTACATAATACGGAGTACTCCGTATTATATTTACACCACTATCTCTATGCCAGATTCCAATAATTACTCCAGAAATAAAGGCTGGTAGAGATTTCCTTCAGAGGTTACTAAGGTAAATGCAGAATATTAGTTATTATTCATTCAATAAAATGCCAGTTATTCACCTGCCAATGAGATCTAGCCAACTGGTTATTGTTGAGACCCTAAGATCTAGAGGTCTGAGGTTGATTACCTCCTTTATGCTGAGAATTTCTTTCCACACTTATTATGTACAGAGTAATCTGCTATTAGCATAAAGAGGCTTGTATTTCTATTGTTTGGTTGAAATTTGTGTTTGTAAGGATTTCCAAATTGGGTGCTTCACTGATGACTCATTACTGTGTCAGATACTCAGACTCCATTGCGTTGTCATGTAATAAAGATATACACCTTAAAAAATGGTATAGCAGTACGCAATTACGCAAGCAGTGGAGAGTTGGGAACTTGTGACAAAATATAGTCCACCTAATAGGAAGAAGAGCCTAGACTAATATGTACACTTTATTTAGCTTAAAAGAAAAGTCATTTTAATTAAAATAATTAGTCAAAAAAGAAGAAATTCTTAGAGAAGGTTTGTTTTGGCCAAGTTAATATCACTCAGCACATATCACACATTCACACTGGGTAAATGAAATTCTGAATTTGCAACGACTCCTTTTGTATCCAAAGAATGGAAGGAAGGATTTGCACCATTAATTAGTAGTTGAGCTAAACCTAACCAACATTGACCAAAAAATCAACAGTAACAATACAGTGGCTCAAAATTACTTATTTTACCTACTATGTACTTGCCCGACCATTTCTAGTGAGTTTAATAGAAGTGTAACATATGGTCAGTGGTCACATATAGTGAGCAACCTTAGACAGTCATATAGAGGAGACTTATAACAGAGCTTAATATAAAATGAACAAAAATATGGTGATCCTCACTAATTTAACCTTCCGTAGGAAATTCGATAAAAGGCCAAAGTACATTGAATTGTACTGAAAAACAGAAAACACAATGAGCAAGACCGATATATTATACAAGTATAGTAGTCCGTATAATTTTACTCCAAACAATATTCAGAAAGGCCCACATATCCATGTATGTGCATACATTAAGATAACTCATCGCCAATTCTGAATATAAAGCTCTAATGAAAAATGTCTCATAATATAGACAAAAACCAAACTACTGTATCATAGTCCTTGAACTTATTTATAGCAATTTTCATTGGAAAAGAAGGGAAAATTTCAATAATTAAGAATATCAGAACTTATCAAAACAGGGGTTGAATGTAACCAGGATAGCTTAATACAATAAGTCAATTACTGAGGAGAATCCTCCAGTTTGGATATAAAAGAGACTAGAAGCTAATCAGTAAAATCATTTACTTTCTGATAAAGGTTCCCAATCTTTGACGATCTGAGATTGAAATGGGTTCACTAATTCAGTGATATAAGCTGAAGATGATCTTTAATACCAAAATTATACGTCTATAACCAGGACCTAATTATGAATTACATTATCGAAAAACAAACAATATACAGTGTGAAATTAATCAATTCGTTATTGGACGGGAAGATCAAGAAAAAATTATTTTCAATTAAGAAACTCACATTTAGCAAGCTTAGAGAGCTTCAGAGAGGTTTGATGAATCCCTTGCCCAATCTTCGAAGCTTTTTTATTGAACTCCGACTGAAAAGCAACAGCCGGCCGACTTGCCTCGGCCTTGGCATCTCCCCCACCATCGACGGCGCCGCTGCTGGATGCCGGCGACGGGATAAATTTCTTCAATTTCTCGGCTACATTGTTAAATTCGTGCGTTCGATCTCTGCACGAAGATTGCACCGGTCTCATACTTGCATTCAATGTGATGAATGGTTGATTCCCCGCTCTGAAATCATAGAGATCTTCTCCCGTGCGCCCTCCCCTTTTCCTCTTTTCTCCTTCCCAACTCAGCCCCGGTTCACCTTTACCATTCATTTAAAAACAAATTCCAAAATAAATTTTTGAACAAATCTTTTTACCAAAATAGAAAAGTGAGGAAGAAATTATTAAACGGAGAGATAATTATTTTTAACATTTATTTTAATTAAAATAATTAAAATAAAAATATAAAAATAATAAAATTTACTTAAAACTATTTTTTATTAAACTTTAAATAATTGAAATTTTCATTAAAATTAAAATAAGAAATACAATAAATAGAGTTTCTAGGAAATACAATAAAAATTATAATAAAAAATTTAAACATCTCTGATTGATTCGTCACCCACCGCACCTCTTAGCCACCTCTGGGATATCTTATATGGCATCATCACCACTACCGCACGCTTCGTTGGACCAAAGTTATCCACGTTGGTGGTCATATTTTTGAAGTATTCTAATCTTTTTACTCTAGGCTTTAGCGTTCGATGGCCAGCTGCTTTGCTTTTTCTTTGTGTCTTTGCTCAATCATCTTCGCTCTCGCTTGTTCTTTAGCCCGAAGTCTCTCCGCCTGCATTTCAGCAAAGGCGAACAACGAAGTGTTGAGATGCTCGAACCCTTTAGCTAAGGGTTCGGCTACCATGTGTGATGATCCTTCTTTTTTTCGCTTGTTCCCTCCTGATGGATTGTTACGGCTCCGGTGGTGTTGGTATGTCGTCATTATCGTTACTGATACTTGGCATTCAATGTGCATTGGACATGCTGGGACTATAGTCGCCTGATTCAGACATTTTGGATCGCTTTGCCGAGACGATGTCGTTTGGAACCGGCACCCACTTAGTACATCCGTGGAAGATGTTCAAGCGCTTGCTACAGCATGTCTTGATCACTCGAACTGCTCGCACGGTTCATGTAAATGTTGTTGTAGATACCACTAATTTTTTAAATTTTTTTATTCATATCGCGGTACTTGGAAGCTCCGTAGTGAACAAGGCGATACGACTTTGAGTTCTTCCACTCATGGAATTTGTCGATGACTGTAGTCCAAAACACGTCGCTTGTCTAAGCATTTCCTATACACGAGTGATAAAAAAAAAAGAAAAATGTTATATAATGAAAAATATTTAGCTAAAAAAATTAATTCAATTTAAAGGCACCTCTTATTGGGTCGGTGGAAATGTTAACCCAAACTTTGGCTAATGCTTCCTCCTTGGTCATGGTCCAAGATTTTGGAGCACTCTGAGTTGTGCTTGGTCCCCCTTCACGTTTTCTCTTTACTTTCGATATTTTTGGAGCTTGCGTAGGCCCAACCTCATCGATATCATCTTCGATATCTAAAGGGGCATCTTGTGTGGGAGCAGTCACGTGCGGTAGCGGCATGCAAGTGGTGGTGACGCTCGGGCGCCACCTGTTTCTGAAATTGCTGCCATTGAATTTGTTGCCATTTCTTGAAATTGTTTCATTTAGAAAGAACTCGGCCCTTAAGCGTAAGCCACAAATGAAGAAAAGAAGGAATCGGAGGAAGACACCGGTGGTCGGAATAGATCCATGGTACTCATAGATTTGAAAAATATTCAACAAAAATAGTAATCGAATTCAAAGAAATAGGTGAAAAGTGTGTGAAAAAGATTAGTGAAGTGTTACGTTTAAATACTAAATTTTTTAATTTTTTCTGCTTGAAACGACACTTGCAACAAAAAAAAGAAAAAATGATCGTTGAGTGCCGACGGGAAAAACAGGGAAGGGAACCTGTCATTCCCGTTCCCGCATGGGGGAGGCGGTGTTCCCCTTCCCTTCCACAGCCATGTTGCCCTCCCTCTTCCCTTCCTATTGTGCACACCATATGGTCTTATTTGCAATAAGTATTCACCTATCAACTCTACAAAAAAATAGAATAAATTCTAAAATGGTATTCAATATTTATGTATTTTCTTAAATTTTTCTCTAAAATAAACTAATCGCAGAGATGATACTTAGTTTAGTTCTTCAACTAATGGTCATCAAAATGACATTAGAATGTGAAAGCTTATACTAATATATTATGGAAATAACCTCAATTTAAGGAGGGTTAGAATACTCATTTTCAAGCATAATTGAATTTCAGAAAACAAATATTTAATTACTCGAAACTGAGCAATCAGTTACTCGAAAATGAATATTGAGATACTCGGAAACGAGTACTCACCTTGAATGTACGAAAAACATTGTACCACCAGTTGTACGGTATATATTGGGTTGAGTGCTACGCGCACCAACCACAAGCCCCACAACTCGAATTGTAGGATTTCCAAAGGGTGTATTCGGAGAGAAATAGGAATAGAAATAGAAGGCAAGTAAGAAGGAAATTGAAATTTTATTGAAAAAAGTTTCACCCCATGAAATTAATTTTTCACTCCACTTTTTTTCAACCAAATAGACTATGGTAGTGTTTGAAAATTAGAATTATTTGAAATCTTGGATTTCAATTTCAATATTTGGAATCTCATAATTGTAAATTCTAAATATTATCTAGAAAGTCATAGAATTTCAATTTTAGATTTTTTGTTTCCGAGTCATTTTGGCGGGGCGTACTAAACCCACTACGTACCACCCCACCAGACGACTAACCTGAATCTGTCACGTGCAAGATACGGTATGAAGCCATTTCCTTTCAGTCGAATTAGTTTCACTATGCTACATTCTTTGAAACTCATTCAGAGCATTTTGAATTTTAAAGTCGGCAAAGACAGTAACGGAATCAGGTTGATATATATTGTTATATAGAAGGTCCCTCTTGAATTGTAAATGATATGAGAAGTGTGAATTTGTGGTTGGATTAATTTTGAATTACAAAAAAATTGGTCCAAATCCACATCTAATTTTTTTAAATTTTATTTAGAATCAAATCCAGATTTGAAATCCAAATTGTTCCCAAACACACTACATGGTTGGAAGTTGAATTGAAGAAAAGTGGAAGTTCAATGTCTACACTCTACACCATTTGATTAACGTGGAAATATCTCCGTCTAAAACCCCATTCTGGATTAGGCCGGCTCTCAGCTTTCCCGTCGTCTACGGCTGACCGCCGGCGCTCCTCGGTGCACTGCCCCTGCGGCACTCCCATGTATGTCTTTAGATCTCCATTCCGCTGATGACCTGATTATATTTTTTTATTTCTATGACACTGGCCACTCACTAGCCAGTAGGGTTTGAACTTAATTCGCCGATTTCATTTGCAATGTAAAATGATGATTTTTCAGTTCCGCAGCATTCTGTATTGTGCTTCAACCTTATAACTTATTTTAATTTGTTTTTTTCGTGTTGTGCTTGTTTGATGTTTTGTAAAATTATTGGAAGCTCTGCACTCCTTATTATTCAAACAATCTGATTTTTTTAAAAAAGTATATGGATGCTTTTTCCATTGCTTTGATCGAATAAATGAATTTAACTTGTCACTTTTCATGATTTATTGTCTATGAATCTAAATTAGTTCACAACTCTTATGTTGAAATATATCTTTCATCCCAATTTCCCTTTCTGTTGTGCAGTATTTGTCCAATATAGACTTGGTAAACATGAATGCCATAAGCTACAACGCCATTACAAAACCTAACTTTTTTCTTGTACGGTGTGAGGTATCCGTTCTTGCGTTCCGTAGAGCCCAACTTAATTCGGCTCAGAATTTATGTATTTTACATCGTTGTGATAAGAAAAACTCTATCATGAGTCTATGTTGTTCCGTTGCGGGTAGGACACTGTCTTCTAGATTGGAGGATTTTAAATTACCAAAGTCTGGAACTTGTAATGGGAGTCGTCAAAAACAAAAAATTGATGCATCATCAGTGTACATTCATCCTAGTTTGTTGCAAATGAAGAACGAGAGGGCAGCAAATCGCGCACTTATTTATGACTTCTTGAGAGGGATTGGCATTGTTCCCGACGAGCTTGATGGATTAGAGCTTCCTCTTTCCATTGAAGTCATGAGAGAGCGTTTGGATTTCCTTCACAAATTGGGTCTCACGGTTAAAGACATCAACAACTACCCTCTTGTCCTTGGATGCAGTGTGAAGAAAAACATGATTCCCGTTCTTGATTACCTTGGCAAGTTGGGTGTGAGAAAATCCACATTCACCGGATTCCTTCGCCGATACCCACAAGTTCTCCAAGCTAGTGTTGTGGTTGACCTTGTTCCAGTTGTCAAGTATCTTCAAGGTTTGGACATCAAACCGAATGATATTCCCCTAGTTCTTGAGAAATATCCAGAAGTACTGGGATTCAAGCTTGAGGGCACAATGAGTACTTCTGTTGCATATCTTGTCGGCATTGGGGTGGCAAGAAGAGAAATCGCGGGAGTGTTGGTGAGGAATCCCGAGATATTAGGGATGAGAGTGGGCCGGGTGATCAAGCCTTTTGTGGAATATCTTGAGAGTGTGATAGGAATTCCAAAGTTAGCCGTGGCTAGGTTGATTGAAAAAGATCCACACATTCTTGGTTTTGGGCTTGAAGAGAGAGTCAAACCTAATGTGGACTCTCTTATACGGTTCAATCTCAGAAAATCTTCACTCCCATCCGTCATTGCTCAATACCCTGCAATTTTATGGCTTAATCTCGACGAAAAGCTGAAAGCCCAACAAAGTTTTCTCTATTCACTCTTAGGTCTATGCCCTGAGGATTTTGGGAGAGTTGTGGAGATGATGCCACAGTTTGTGAGTCTCAACAACTCACCTGTAACAAGGCACGTTGATTTCCTCAAGGCATGTGGGTTCTCTTTGGAACAGCTAAGGAATATGGTCGTGGGATGTCCCCAGATACTCGCATTGAATATCGATACCATGAAACATAGTTTTGATTACTTCACTCGTGAGATGCGCGGGAGACCATTGGATGAGTTGGTTGCTTTCCCTGCATTCTTCACATACGGACTCGAATCAACCATAAAACCAAGACATAAGAAGATTGCTGCAAAAGGGTTAAAATGTTCCCTTGCATGGATGCTTAACTGCTCGGATGAGAGATTCGAGGATCGGGTGCATAATGACTCCATTGAAATAGAAGAGATGGAACCAAGTTCGTCTTTTGACATGAACACCCTTATGCAACCCCGAACCGATGATTCAGACTCAGACTATGACGATGATGCTGATGACGACCACGACGACACTGAGTATGATTAATTAATTAATATTTTTAGTTGGCGAAAAGAATGATTAATTGATTAGTATAGGCACGCTAGAATGTTTTACAAGTGCATTAGAAAAAACCCTGTACCATAAGTTTATTCGTGTGTGATTGGGTCCTTTCAGTACCCCTGATTTGCTGAATCCATATGCCACATCATTACGATTAGGGAAAGAAAATTTGGGGAAGGAATAATGCATTGGTTCAAATTTGATACGGAGTAGTTTTTTTGGTACTCCCTTCACCTCCAAAAAATTCTTCTTCTTTACTGTTTACATGTTCAAATTCTATGTTGCTCTAGCTCGAAACAATCTTTTCACTTTCAAGTAGGCCGGGTTAAAGTATGCATTCCCGTACTTTCTCCAGACCCTACTATCGTGGGATTCTAGTGGTGTGTTATATTCACATGGTCAAAATTTAATAGTTCTTTATTTATTTTTGTTATTCGTTTGATAAGATAGTATTCCGTATGACCAAATCACATCTTATTTTGTAGATTTTTTACGGAAATTTTAAATACATAGATCTTGTTTCTTAATTATATATAAGTTTTCATATAATTTGAATCAAAAATAAATTCAATCAACTATTATAACTCGCATGAGTTTCCCTTCAAATGAGTGTGGGCCTTTGGCAAGAGAGTCGGGGCTAAGGTGGCGGGTGGTCCCGACCAGAAACACCCCCCCCCCCCGCCCTCCATTGGGGATAGACATAATAGGCATGCCCCCCACCACTTTCCCAATTCTTCTCCTCTCTCATTTCATTCTTTCTCTTTGTTCCTTCTAACCATGTAGAGGTCTTCCGCAATCACACGGCCGGTTCGGCGGTGAGGGTGGCAGGTGTGTGAGGTGGTCGTCGGTAGTCGATGCGGCTGGCCGGGAGAGAGTGGCCACACTGCACAGCCTAACCAGATACTCAGTATACTACCTCTATGGCTCCATCATGTAATAATTATTTTGCTTTTTTTTTTTTCATACCCAAAAAATGGATTATTCCTTTTAAAGAAAAGAATATGTGATTAGATAAAAATATCCCTCCTTTAGCAGTACACTGTTCACATTACAGTAATTTTTTTTTATGTAGAAGTTAAAGTGGAACATTTTTTTCCCCGGACAAAGGGAATTCTTTTATACTTAATTCGAATCCATTTTTCATTAAAATAAATAAAGCATCCTCCCATTATTCCTCCATACTCTAATTATATTAGGGTGTGGAACAATATCCACCTTTTGTTGGGGCTAAATCTGATATACTCCCCCGGCTTATTTTGATTTGAAATTTGACCTCAAAATGACTCGTTAAAAATAGGTCAAACGTGTTTGAACATGAACCCGACTACTTGATTGATTTGAAATTTGACCTCAAATTTTTCGGCTTATTCCTTTTAAGGTGTAAACTTACAAACAATTTTTTTATGATATCATATTGTTATTCATTGTTTTCAAAATTGTACTCCGTATATATTAATTTTTTTCTATTATTTCAAATATTGTTTTAAATATCTAAAACGTAAAAATTTAAAAGAATATATTTTAATAATTTTAATAAATACAGAGTACATTTTAATACATATTTTCATTAGTATTTTTTTATGTAAATTGTACGGAGTAAGTGGTGACTCTGGTCATCCAGTCAATTGTGGGATGGTATGGACCGACCGTTCGAGATTGACAAATTCCTGCTTAAACAAAAGTCAGCCTTCACAGTATTTGGTCAACGTATACGGAATACGAGTATAAAATTCTAAATACGGAGTACAAATACTATACTACTCCGTACTCGTTAAAAACTTCCCCAACCAACGTCTCCGACGACCAAAAGCGTGCAATTGGCTGGCTGGACGCCACTCTCTTTCCTTAAACTTCCATTTTCTCTCTCTAAACCCTCTAGAAAGAGAGAGAGAGTGATCGGAGAATAGCTTCCCTTCAGATTTTGCTTTGATTTTGTTCCTTTTCTGTGTGAGGAATCTAATAATGTCTTCACAGGCGCCCGGAGCAGCGCCGGCTCCGACCTCGCCCCCTGCTCCGCCCGCCAACGCCACTTCTCCGCCCCCTGCACCAACTGCTCCGCCGCCTTCTCCGCCGGCGCAGCCTCCTCCGCCGAGTTCTTCTCCGCCACCGCCCTCGACTCCCGCTCCTTCAACTTCTCCTCCTGCGCCATTGACGCCTTCCGCCCCCGCCCCTTCCGGTTCTTCTCCCCCGTCGATTCCCTCTGCACCTCCCAGCAGAACCCCATCTCCTCCATCGCGCACGCCTCCTTCTCCACCTCGTCCTCCGCCCCGGTCCACTCCCTCTCCACCTCCTCCTAGAAGAGGAGGAGCAGGAGGTAGTCCGGCGACCCCATCGCCGCCTCCTGATGGCGGATCGTCGGGGCTATCAACGGGTTTGGTGGCCGGAATCGCAATTGGGGGAGTTTTGATACTGGCAGCTTTGTGCTTGATATTCATATGTTGCAGAAAGAAGAGGAGAAGAGATAACGTGCCCGTAGATTACTATGCACAACAACCTCCTCCTCCTCCTCCCGGGCCTAAAGGTGAGACAAATTATCGAAGTATTGCTTTACCGAAATGTGCTGTCTTCTCATTCCATTTTGATCAACTTTTACAGAGTGGAGTCTAGCATGATTAATTGAGAGATACAAAATATAATTTGTTTTGAATGATCAAGATCTAGTTAAGATCTTGCTAAATTAACCCTTGAAACCTGCAATATGGAGCATGTAACTGGATTTCACCATTTTCTACCCAATTTTGAGTGACTGAGTCTAAGGCCCCTTTTGATAATTGGAAAATGTTTCTTGTTGAAAATGTGTTTTTCTGTTCTCTAAAGAGCAAAACTAGTTCAGGAAATGGGTAGCCATATTCCACAGACTCAGTGAATGAAGGAATGAAAAGTATTACAAGTAGTTTGCAAGGTGTGGAGTATTCTCTTTTGACATTATTGTTTGGAACTCAAGAGAAATTTTGGTTTTGCAGCTGATTCTTATGGTGGCCCAGCAAACCATTGGCAACATTATGCCCCACCACCTTTGGATCATGTTGTTACAATCCCTCCAAAGCCATTTCACCCTCCTCCCGGGGCGTCTAGACCACCGTTTTCTCCTCCTCCCCCGGCTCCACCTCACATAAGCAGCAGTGGAGCTTCGTCCAATTATTCGGGATCTTCAAATCCACTCCCACCACCTTCACCTGGAATGGCTTTGGGGTTCTCAAAGAGCACATTCACTTATGAAGAACTGGAAAGGGCAACTGATGGCTTCTCGGATGCCAACCTTATCGGACAAGGAGGTTTTGGCTACGTGCATAGAGGGATCCTTCCTAATGGGAAAGAGGTCGCTGTTAAGAGGCTAAAATCTGGCAGTGGGCAGGGTGAGAGGGAATTTCAAGCTGAGGTGGAGATTATTAGCAGAGTGCACCACAAACACCTTGTTTCTTTAGTTGGATACTGCATCGCTGGCTCTCAGCGAGTGCTTGTCTATGAGTTTGTGCCAAACAACACCCTTGAATATCACTTGCATGGTAAGCTTGTGCGCATGTACTCTCTCTGATCCTTATTATGTAAGACACCTTTTAAAGGGAATCAATAGTCCTCTTTATTAGAATCGTCAGACCATAGTAAGTCTTTTGTCTATGTTTATTTTTAGAAGGCATAATAAAAGATAAAAAGAGGCAGAATTTTGATGTCATAATATTTTTTTAAAAACTAAACAACAACAACAACAACAACCCAGTTAAATCCCACAAGAGTAGGGTCTGGGGAGGGTGTGTGTACGCAGACCTTACCCCTACTCAAAAGTAGAGAGGCTGTTTCCAAAGAGACCCCCGGCTCAACGTCGAAAGTTGCATTGCTTGACTAACTACTACTTCATTAATTAAAGAAGCGCAGACAGTTTAGAGATCCATTTTGATTTATTCCATCACACCCCAAAGCCAAAAATGGTGAAATTTTGGCTCCATCGAAGATGTGGACTGTATTTTTTTAAAAACTCCGAGAGAATTATTTCAGTTTCTTGTTTTGTGAAAATTATAGCAATGCCTAGATGTCATTCATTTGCTTAGAAGTTCATATGGCTTCTGCTGCTCGTTGTCATTGTGACACATTCTTAATTAAGTTTATTGGTGTTGTACTTAAAAAATGTTTATGTTTTGTGATAGTTCTGCTCCCATCAGATGCTCTAGCATTTTGTGAGCATTATTTGTTGACTGATGCTTCTTATGATAACTTATTGTATACCACAGGGAAGGGAAGGCCTCCATTGGATTGGCCCACACGACTTAAGATTGCTTTAGGGTCTGCAAAAGGACTGGCTTATCTACATGAGGACTGTAAGTTCTGGTTATGATGCATACTCACTTTTTTTTTAATGTTGATGCACTTGAATCATCTTGTGTTGAAATCATATTGCGTTTTTAAAATTGTTTAATTTCTAGGCAATCCAAAAATCATTCACCGTGATATCAAGGCTGCCAATATACTTCTGGACTTCAAGTTTGAGCCTAAGGTAGTTTCACACAGATGATACTCTGTAGTTAAATTCTGTTCAATCGTACTGCTCTCTTTGTACATAGTACGGCCAATTAGTAACACCAGAGATAATAATGATCGACTGGTTTGCTACTATTACTGATGTATGAACTTTTCTCAGGTGGCTGATTTTGGACTTGCAAAACTCACTTCTGATGTTAACACTCACGTTTCAACACGGGTTATGGGCACGTTTGGGTAAGAACCATCTCCCCATCATGTATACTTCAATCAATTTGAGGTTGAGAAGTAATATTCCATTTTCCATGCTCTTTTTTTCTCCATTTGTGTTCATAATCTTTTTTAACAACCCATAGGTACTTGGCTCCTGAATATGCTTCATCTGGGAAACTTAGTGAAAAATCTGATGTGTTCTCATTTGGAGTAATGCTTCTAGAGTTAATTACTGGGCGTCGACCCGTTGACTCTAATCAAGCCTTCATGGATGATAGCTTGGTGGACTGGGTGAGTTGATTCCCCCCCACCCCCCCTCAAAATTTCTAGTGCATGTCACTATTTCTCTCATTCTTCTAACCGTGTGTACATTTTTACAGGCAAGGCCTTTACTAACTCGTGCTCTGGAAGAAGGAAACTTTAATACTCTTGTAGATCCACGACTAGAGAATGATTACAACCACAACGAAATATCGCGTATGATTGCTTGTGCTGCTGCTTGTGTCCGTCATTCTGCTAGACGTCGACCTAGAATGAGCCAGGTAACAATAAACCTACCTCTTGGGCCAAGGGCCTTATGTACCCAAAAATTCTCATTATTTCCTAAATCATTTGAGCTTCATCTGGTAGCCGTTTTGGCTTACGCCGAGGGTGAATATACGTACCATGTCATTAATTTGGAGTATACTTTGGAATGTGATAGGTTGTGAGGGCCTTAGAAGGGCAAATGTCATTATCTGATCTCAACGAGGGAATCAGGCCAGGGCAGAGCACGGGGTACAGTTCGTACGGAGGAAGTTCAGATTATGATACAATGCAATACAATGAAGACATGAAGAAGATGAGGAAGATGGCACTGGGAAGCCAAGAATACAGCACTGGCCAGTACAGTAACCCTACCAGTGAATATGGATTGAATCCATCCGGTTCCAGCAGCGAAGGCCAAGAAATGACGATGAAGAAAGAAAGCAGTGGGTACAACGGAAGGTAGCGGCTTCTCAGCTCATTCATTCATTCAATGAAATGTGTATTATAAATATATATAAATAAATTCTACTGCAGGCTAACTCTTCAATCTCTTGGTCGTTAGTTAACACATCAATTCTTTCTTCCTCCTGAATTTTGTGTGATTTTTTTTTTTGTAAATTTTTTCTCTCTCTAAATTGTTGTATTTACTGTCAATTCATGCAAAGGAGATGAGGTGTTGCTTTAATTCTTTGCTGTTCATAAAATATTTAATTGGTTGGTATGTTTGTGAAGACTTATTGGGCCATTTTTTTCCTTCAGTGTTAATAATATAAGTAGTCTTTTGACAGTTGGGTTTGAATGGACGACAGGTAGGTACATGTGTTGGAGAAAAGCAAGATAGTTGTCTCTATTTATTCTTTGGATAATCTTGACTTTGCACCCTATACTTATCCTAGCATTGGACTTATGGATGAATCAAATTCGAATACGACCCTAATCAATTCACTCAATCTTAAAATATCTAAATTTGATCCGATAAATTAAAACTCGAATTGTATTGAGTTGGATTTGGGTATTGCTCATAATCGTTCAGATCGGTTTGAATTCGACGTAGTGTTTGTCAAAACGTATGTGTGTATCTATCTATTTGTATTTTATATAAGCTTATGTAAAAATCATACAAACGTGCAAGATATGGATATAGATGAGTAAAAATTATTTGGACATCAAATTTCTTGTATGCATTCTATGATTAGTAGTGATCAATAACTAAAACTTTTATGTGTTTTTAAAATTCGAAAACCAAAATTCAAAATAGCATATTAAAAAATGTACTCGTATATTGAATTTAGGTATAATAATTAAAGTTTGTCATCCCCTTTCCTTGAATTTGGATTCACAAATCACAATTAGGGTTTGAAATTGGTTGGTTGGTGGGGCTTAATATATACGGAGTACTCCGTAATACAACTATGTCTATACACACATACACTAGTCAAGAAACATGCATGCATGATCTCTTTCTTTTCTTCATGCACATGTTAGGAAAATCATTGAAACAACAACTCATTCACATGTACGGTATGGGAGAGGACTTATCATTCCACCATAATTGAAAAACATCAAAATAATATGGGTATTTTACTTGTCTAATTGCTATCGAATTATGGTTATATATGCACACTCCCTTTTTTAAAAAATTTTTAAAATACAAATTTAACTTTTTTTGGCGATTTGAATTATTTGAACCATCTAAAACTTTAACTTTTTATTAAATACAGACTATCTTGTACTGTTTTTATCTCTTGTTTTTGTATACTCCATATTTCATTATTTTTGTCTCGTACCTAATAATATTGGTCTCATATTCCTTCAAACTTTTTTTTTAAATTTTTTGATATCAAAATTAACTACATAATTTTACTTTTCTTAATCTGCATGTCTTGAAAATAGTGAGTCAAAGGAGCAATAGCTTTTATTAATGTTAATTGAAAATATATCACTTATAAAAACGTAATAATTTATTATTTTACTTATTTGTACTTTTTAACTTTTTGTACTCCCTTTAAAACTTTTCATACTTCTTCCATCCCAGAAAACTCTTCCTGTTTTGATTTTTTTGATCAAATAGTTACACTATTTGACTGCAAATTATGAGAAAAGTATACTGAATTATAATATAAATTTAATATAATTGTGTTAATCTTTGGATATTGTTTTGATATATCAAATTTTTATAACATTTATTTATTTTGATTATGTTTAATTAATAATCAAAAAGTAGTGTTGTTTGACCAAAAAAGTCAAAACAGGAAGAGTTTTTTGAGATGGAAAAAGTATTTAACATTTGTCTAATCAACATTTAAAATACCGCCTACTTATCTAAGTTTATAGACACGTGATAATAGTGTAATAATGCACGCACTTTTAGACCAATGTAATTTGTTAAATTTGAGGTATTTTGACATAAAATCGTTATTAACATAAATTTAAGGTATTAACATAAAATCGTGTTTAAAAAAAACATAAAATCGTATTTTTTAAAAAATAAAATATTCACATGAACTTTTCCTCTCTACTTAGCACAAAGCCACAAACTCAACCGCAGCCCAACCCGAAATCCAGTCCAGTCCGCGGCACTGTCTACTAGGGGTGTTCAATCGGATCAATCCAATCCGATCTGAAAATTTGGATATCCGAAAATTTCGGATCATGTAAACAAAGGTGATGAAGAATTTGATAGAGAGTGGGAAACCTGAAGATGTCGATTTGATAGTCAAAGGTCTAACAGAAGAAGGCCATAAGCTGACTCTTGTAACATATACTACTATGTTAGCCGCATTGACTCTCCAAAAACGTTTCAAGTCTATTCCTTTGCTTCTCAAGAAGGTGGAGCAAAACGGGTTGAGACCTGACTCAGTTTTCTTCAATGCCATGATCAATGCTTTTTCTGAGTCTGGAAATGTCGAAGATGCCCTTCGGATCTTCTGGAAGATGAGGGAGAATGGATGCAAGCCCACCATGGCTACTTTCAATACCCTGATCAAAGGGTTTGGGATAATCGGTAAGCCTGAAGAATCCTTGAAGCTTCTAGAGATAATGACTGCAGAAGAAAAGTTAAGAGCAAATGAGAGAACTTATAATATTCTCATACAATCGTGGTGTAACAAGAACAATGTTGACAAGGCATGGGAAGTAGTTTCTAGAATGGTCGAGGCAGGTTTGAAACCTGATGTTGTCACGTATAACACCATAGCAAGGGCTTATGCACGGAACAAAGAGACTGGAAGAGCAGAGGCAATGATTTTACGAATGCAAAGTGACAAAGTGGGCCCCAACGCCAGAACGTGTGGCATCATTGTGGATGGGTACTGCAAAGAAGGCAATATGGTAGATGCACTGAGATTCTTATACAAGATGAAGGGTTTTGGCGTGCGTCCTAATCTGTATGTACTCAACTCTCTTATCAAAGGGTATGTAGACATTACTGACACTGTTGGAGTTGATGAGGTATACTATAGGAATTCATTGGCCTTTTGGCCCTGCAATTCATTATATATTACCTGCATATCTATTTCTTCTCTATTTTTTCAAGAAAATGTAGAAGACTGTGCCTCTGATTGGTAATTCTTAAAAATTTGCAGGCAATAACATTAATGGAAGAATTTGGAGTGAAACCAGACGTGATCACGTTCAGTACAATCATGAATGCATGGAGTTCAGCTGGACTAATGGAGAAATGCGAAGAAATATTTGAAAAAATGATCAAGTCCGGAATCCAACCTGACGTTCAGACATTCAGCATTCTTGCAAAAGGGTATATTCGCGCAGGGAAGCCAGAGAAAGCTGAATCACTCTTGGAACTAATGGGGGGCCACGAAGCGCGCCCGAATGTGGTGACATTCACCACAGTAATCAGTGGGTGGTGCAGCGCAGGAAAAATGGAGCGCGCTTTGCTGGTGTACGAAAGGATGCTCGCGATGGGCGTGCAGCCCAATTTGAACACTTTTGAGACACTTATTTGGGGGTATGGAGAAGCAAAACAGCCATGGAAAGCTCAAGAGCTGATTCAGAGTATGGAGGAGATGGGAGTTTGCCCGAGGGAGAAAACGTTTCAGCTTGTCGCGGATGCTTGGCTTGCCATTGGATTTGTTGACAAAGCTAAAAGTGTCAATCAAGGAGACATGAAGAAGAATAGTTTGTACTCAAGAAAACAGCGAAAGCCCGGATCTGTTATGAACATCAAGAACGGTTTGAGATGCTTGAACTTAAGAAGGATGAGTTTGGCTGCGAAAGAAAGGCTAGCCATTAACAATAACTGTGGACTTAGATTGAAGACCTTTATGGTAAGGCAAAAGCCACTCCACATCCAAATTGGTATAATGAGCATGTGAGAAAGCAAATCGACTGTTTTATTGCACGTATAGATTACGGTTTAGATGATTCTGCCTACGTCCCTAAAAGAACTGCATGTTTTCCTTTTTAACTTTGATCTCATTTCAATTTCATTTTTTTTTCTTTCTTTTAGCCACACCCATCTTTTTTCTCCTCTTTCAACACCCCTACCCCTCTCTCCGCACACATCATTTTTTTCTTCTTTAATTCTTCGAGTGACCTCTCTGGCTCTCCCGCTTCCCCTCATTTTTTTAAAAAATGCATGGGGGGCTGGAAGAAAAAGATGATGATAGAATTTGGGATGAGTATGGATAACTGGATTGGGTAATAAAACACTTGGGCTGAACCACATTAAAAAATTGAATTCAATCGATTAGTTAGTTCAACTCAAGAGCTTATATACCGATTATTTTTCTCACACTTTTTCGATGTGGGATACTCTTAACAGATGAGAAGAAATGAGGAGAGGTAAGGGTGGGAGGGGTCACTGGAAGAAGAAGATGAACAAAAGTGGGGTTTGGGGCGTGGGGTTTGGGGGGATATGGCCTAAGGGTGCTGAAGAATAATCAGATAAAAAAGAAAAAGGAGTCAAGTTAAAAGAAAGAGAAAAAAATGACTTAGGCTATGCTCTCTTCAACTCATTTTTTTATTTATTACTTATTCTTATTGAATTAGATCGGATCACACCAAAAATGCTTTAAATATAATTGCATTAAGATCACACCAGATCAGATCAGAACTTATTGCAATCAGATTAAAATCAATCAAATCAGGTGAAGAGAATATGACCTTAGATTGCGTTCTCTTCGACTGAATTGATTCTTCAATTTTGGAAGAAATACCGTCATAGCACTAATATATGCTTAAAATAGCCAAAAAACACTGCTATGAGATATTAGAACTCGTGTAGATGTAATTCTAAATTTGTCTTTGCGTTCCACACTGTTAAAATATGTGTTTAAGTTGGTTAACACTTCCATAGCATGGGCATAACACATTGTTGTTATATCCAATTAAACATATATCCACACTGCCAAAAAATATGTTCAAATTGATATACACTTCTTAAACATGGACATAACACACTACCACAAAGTGTAGTTAAGTCTTGTTAAGCATAATGCATTGCCCAAAACATGGGGAGAACACACTACCAAAAAGTGTAAGCATAACATGACCATTTCATACTGCCAAAAAAGTTGGTAAACACTTTTAATTTCGTTCATTAAATGTATTTAAGCAATGAGATGTGTGCTACATACAAGGAGTGAGAATAAACTTCTAAATTATGGATCTCAATAATTATGATAAATGAAATAATTAAAATGTTGTATTATAATAAATGCGTGTGATTGGAAGAGATCCACATCATAAATAGCCAAATGTGTGAAAAACATTAAGAAGTGCTACATGTGTGATAATAGATATCTTAGACTGCTTCATAGGGTGATTCTTAAATATTTTAAGGCTAATCAGATCTGATCTAAAAGAATCTAATCTTATCTAAATTAAATTAATTCAAATTATTATTCTTATTCTTATTTTAATTATTAATAATAATTTATTATTAATTATCATTATTAATTATTATTAACATAATACAATAACTATTATTATTATTATTAATTATTTTAATTATTATCATTATTAATATTAATAATTATATTTATTAATATTATTGTAATTATTTATTATTGTTACTAATATTAAGTGTTATGATTAATGATGACAATTATATTTATTAATTATAATTTATTATTATAATAATAACAATAACAAAAATTATTTTTGTTATTTTTATTAATAATATAAAAATTACAATTTTTATTATTAGTAATTATTAAAATTATAATTATTACTCTGTATTATTTTAGTTATTATATTTATTAATATTATAAATAGTAATTATTATTATTATTATTAAGTGATATGATTAATGATGAAAATTATCAATTAGTATAATTATATTTATAAATAAATATTATTATGAATTGTTACTTTTGCATTTGTTATTCATGACTTTTTACATCAGTTCTTTACCGATACAAAAGTTGCAATGTAATTGGTATAAATATTCTTTGCATAACCGATGCAAAAGACTTTTTATCAATCCATATTTCGTACTCTTCTAAGGTCATTTGCATTGGTTATTTTGAAAAAACTGATGCAAAAGGCCTTCCCGCTAAAATTGAGAAGGTCTTTTACATCAGTTACTCTAAAATCCACAATGCAAAATAATTTTCCAAGAAATTAGTGCCAAACCTGGGAGAAGCTTTTGCATCCATTATTCTAGAATAACCAATGTGAAGATCTTTTCCTAATATTCTAGAAAGGGCTTTCGCATTGGTTATTATGTAATAACCAATCCAACATCCCTTCCCTGATATCTTGAAAAAACTTTTTGCATCAGTTATTCCAAAATAATTAATGCAAAAGATGTTTACACAAGAGCATTATAATACAATTTTTTCACATAAACACAACACTTTACAAAACAAATCAACACATTTACTTCAACAAAATATCATACCCACGATTCGATACAATCAATTTACAATACAAATCAACAACTTACTAAAGTATTGTAAGCTGCAAAATGAGAGTTTTTGAGAGTTTTTTGTGTGATTGATAGAAGAGTATCAGTCCAAGTATATCACCCATACATGAAACAAGTGGGTGCATGGAAAGTGTAACAAAAGGAGAAAGATTCTAACAACATTTGAAATCAAAATCAATCGCCACTCAGATCCAAAAAAAAAAATGACAGGGCAAGTACACACTAAAGAATATGGTGGGATTCAAGAGTGACACTCCCATTTTCTTTAAAGCATTTAATAATGATAAAAAATAAATAAATTTAAAGTATACAAATAAAAAAAATTAAGTAGAAAAATAAAATATAAAATAAATCATAACATTTTATGATATTTCAAATATTTTACCTGTATATGTTTTTAAGTAATTATTTTTTACTTTTAAACTAAAATTTTCTTGTCAATGGATTGTGGGGACAAACTAATTTTTACCAAAGCTGTTCTTTTAGTTCTAAACAAAAAAATTATTTTAATATTGTATATTACAGAATGAAAAAAATTGGCAAGGGGGGACAACCCCATACTCATACATGTAGATCCATTCCTATTCATATGTCAATTTGTCGATTCATTAGAAAATACTAGACTCGTACCTGTGCGATGCACGGGCTGTAAAATTACTTATATTTAGTCTTGGTTTGGAATAACATAAAATGATACAAAATCAAAAGATTACAAATTTTATTAAAATTGCCCAAAATAAGGTATTGTACATCAAGGACGGTAGATGCACAGCCAATGATTTATTCAAAAATTAATAATTATTAAAATTTATTATAAAATAAATATTTTATATATTTCAGACACCTTATAGATTCTAATAGGGAATTTTTTTTGCTATACTATAATTAAATATAAGAATAACTTGAATGGAATGAAAAAAATAAACAAAACTTAAATGTTTTGTAACACTTGTTTGTATTCAACCTTTGCAAGTTGGTCTTCGTCACTCCAAATTAAAAATAGATTTGTCTTTGCTTTTATTAATACATATGAGACCGGAAATTCTTTTCACGCACATCTTATCTATTATTCTTGTAACTTTGTCTTCTATCTATGAATAATTATGATAAAAGATGATAATTTTATTCCAATGTTTAATAACAAAACAATCCCAAACATGAAACAATGAATGCCTTCAACAACCGAAGATTAAAAACAAAATGCAACATTCAATTGGTTCAAATACAGCTAAAAAGTTTGGACACACCCTAAAAAGCTCCACCATAAAATATTAGCGAAAAAAAAGCTCCAAAGCACTTCGTAATATAAGGAATCACAGGTCAATGGCTCTCTACTTTGATGGCACTCTAATGAAATCATCTACTGACTTTTTTTAATAGATCTTTCAACCTTGGGTTTCTTCAAGCACCAATGTAGCCTTTCTCCAATCTTCAAATGATCATTTAAAACAATCTATGATATTAGAAAAGACATTATAGTAAATAATTATCACATTTAATTTAAAAATTTTCATTTTAAATTTAAATTAAAAAACCACTTTAGGGATAAATTTGAAACTATTGTCCAACAAAAACAAAAACTTCCACTATCTCTAAATATTTGTATGTATAAATAGAACAAAATTGTATTCAATTTTAAATCTCATGAACCAAGATCCTGAATGTGGTAGGTGGCATACACCACTAAAGTTGGCATAAATTTTTAAGTAATTATTTTTTACTTTTAAACTAAAATTTTCTTGTCAATGGATTGTGGGGACAAACTAGTTTTTACCAAAGCTGTTCTTTTGGTTCTAAACAAAAAAAATTATTTTAATATTGTATATTAAAGAATGAAAAAGATTGGCAAGGGGGGACAATACATTGGAAAATATTCTATTGAGATTGAATGATGTAACTTTACAATAATTTAGTTAAAATTTAAAACACGGACATTGACAACACAGATAAAGAAAAAATGTGTTTGTGAGAAAGGTGAGACAAACTATCTCAATCATATATACAATGACATATTGTAACTTGGTCACTTTGGAACTATGTTTCACTCTTAGTTTTCAGGATCACTTGTACACACCTCCGCCAACAAAAAAAACTTTACATTACCCGTTCAAATTGGTAAGTTTTTTCGTAGACAGATAGAGAATTTTTCTCAAGTAAAAAAAGGTTTAATTGCAGAGTTCAAACAAATATTACGGAGTAAAAAATTAAAATGAATTAATAAAGTAAATTCAGCTGGAAATCAATTATGTGAATCCATTAATTATGAAAAATTGAGACAACTTCAATTCTCAAATGATAAATACACATAATTGATTTCCAATAGAGTACACCATTATTTATCAAGTGACACCGCTCGGTGATCAAAGGGATATGCTTGCTCTTCCTCAGGAAGGGAGCATTACGGTGAAGCATAAATTAAAAACAAAATTTAAAAGAACGGCATCAGTTCTCCAAGATGATCTTTAACTTCAAAGAGAAACTCAGACGCAAATTACCCATTTGAAATGGGTTTCATCATCTGCCCAATAATATATAAATCGAAAGGAAAATAAAAAACAAACATAAAACGAACAAAAATCTTCAAAAAAAGGAAAGTTTTTGAGCGATCAGAACCTGTTGGGATTCATATTAGTCATCAACCAAAAGAGTCAGTGGATTGACAGACAAATGATTTCTAACATCACTTCACTCGACCAGAGATTAAAACTCTGTACCAATTACAGAGAAAGAACGAAAATTAAAACGTCAGGAAAATCAAAATCTGCAAAAGAATGAACGAAAAAACTAAGATTTAAAGGAAACAGAGTCATCAGATAGGAGCGAAAGACTATAAACGTTTTTGTAATCACAGAGATTATCAGTTGAACTATGCACGAAATCATCACCTGACTCTTCTTCTCATCGGAGAAATCAATAAGCAAAATAAACATACAAAAAAAGTATTCAATTCATCAGGTAATCTAAAGGAAAAATGACGAATCTATGGAGCCTCAGAAGGAAGGCAGTAGAATTGTCGTAATCACGAATTTTCATACACGCGATTCAACTAAATCATCACTGGCAGATCAAATCCAATCGGAGAAAAACTAACACACACACACACACACACAGAAACCTCCCATAGCCCTTTCAGGCTTTCTGGAAACTAAGAAAATGGGGGGAGGAAGAAGACGGTGCTAGAGATAAGTTAAGAGATGGGATTGAATCGGAGAATGGTGACGAGTTATATAGGGAAGGAAGATGAGAGAGATATATGGTAAGGAAGAGCTAGGGTTTGTTATGGAGGGTTCGTTTCTCAAGCGCGGCGCGGCGCGGCGCGGCGCCACTTTGGTGCAGAATGCGGGTGGGTATTTTTGGGCTATCAATTGGGCTTGGAAAGCAGAGGAGGGAGGGATATCTTAGCTAAACTGATTTTATTAAATAATAAGAGAACCCTTTTAATAAAACACTATTTATGTGTATTATTTAAATTTTTAAAAAATAATTATGCCAGAGTACTAACTCAAAACACTCCTTTTTTTCAACACAACTCAAAACACTACATTTTGTTTAGATTTAATCATTTATTTTTTTAAAAAAAACGCATCAATACTTCGAGAACCCATCAGAGTTTATATCGCTATTCCAATCTAGGTCAACCACTCAACCAGCTTCAAACTTAAAGCCGTAAAATTATTTTTGCTTATATAACATCAGAAATATTTTGTTGGCAACACATATATACAATAATTAAATTAAATTGGATGTCATTTGGACTTTATAAATGACTTAATGAAGCAAATCTAATTGAACCCGGTGACATCCTCTATATTTAAAAAAATATTAATCTTTAAGTAATTAAAAATGTTCAACTGATGTCCAATATATTTCTATTACCTTAGTCGTGTTGAAAACTTGTTATTTCAGATTTCACATCAACCAAAATAATGTCACGTAATTAATTTAAAATTGACTTAGCGAGACTAAAGTAGTGATGTGATTGAAATTTGGTGATTACTACAAGTATTGACATGAAATAAGAATTTGAGAGTGATATTGTATAATCAGACAAATCTAGAAGCATTGGTGTGAACCTAGAAGTATTGTTGTGAAGTTTCTAGATAGGAGTTAAAAAATGTGAAAAATACTAAGATATGAGTCATAAGTCTTTTAAGACCAAAATAGGAGTTCATACTGCTATTGTTACACCGCTACACTCACCACATTGTCACGTTCTAATAGCCACACTATCATCGCCACACTGACATCCGCCGCTTTCGCCACCAGAGTGGCACCGCAGATCACCGATGGTTTACTGATCACACTGACATATTACACTGTTATCATTTTTCTATCACATTGTCAACGCGCAGTCTAACACTACACTGGTATTCTACTCCTATTTTGATCTTAAAAGACTTGTGACTCCTATTTTAATATTTTCATGTGAACTTTTTTTTACTCATATTCAGGGTAATTCTTTATGTCTAAGCCTACACAATCTTCCGTAACTAACCGAGTACAAAAATTAAAAAAATTAAACTATATGGTTGAAAGTGATGCAAAAAAAGAGAGATAAACAATAGCCACAAAAAACTTTTCAAAGAATGAAAAATGAAACCTTTATATAAGATGAGCATAAAAATGTACTCCCTCCGTCCCTAAATAAAGTTCCATTTTTGACTTTTTGAGGATTTAAGGGAGAGATATTTTGGTGTTGACTTTCCAAAAATACCCTTGATGTGATGTGTTAAAGTAAGATGTGATAGGTAGATTATTAGTAAAAAGGTATGATGTGATAGGTATGGTATGAAAAAGTAAGGGGTAAAAGGGGTGTTTTAAGGGAAAAGAGAAGTTTATTTAGGGACAAAGAAAAAACGTAAGAGAACTTTATTTAGGGACGGAGGGAGTAGATCATTTTTGCGAGGTAGATGAAACATTTAATTTATGTGATTTTTATACTTTGTTTATTTACAAGTATTTATACAATATGAATATCTTCATCTGAAGTGTAAACTCAACAGAATCAACAAATAAAGTAAAACTTTATTGGTATGTATTTTGAAAAGACATACAAATAAAAAAGTGGGGCAGAAAAAATATACTCCGTAGTTTTTATTCAAAAGAGTGAACCAGAAAAAAATAATTTTAGTCATTTTTTTTGTTTGTATTTCGGAAAAGACATAAAAATGACATGTGACTGTTAGAGTATAAAACATCTTTCATTAGCCAACCACAAGCTCGATATTGTGATTAAATTAGTTGACATTGTAATATGGTATTAGAGTTTTGCTAACCAAGATGTCGTGATGTTAGTCGATGTGCACAACTCTAGAGGGGGAGGGTGAATAGAGTTTCTTGAGAATGTTTAACCTTTTCACATTGTGTGTAAATAAATGAACATGCAACGTAAATAAATAAGAGAAGACAAAGAATACACAGATGTATACTGGTTCACTACATCGTGGCTAGTCCAGCTCTCTGAAAGACTCGCTCGAAGCTACTACTACTTATCAAACTTAACCGAGTGTTTGACAAATGTTTACAACATGGGTACTTAACTCGCATAAGCCTCAACACAACCACATAGAAATGTCCTCTACAAGACTTCACACCCAAGACCTGAGTCACATAGGTTTTGTATAACAAGAAGAGTAATCTTCTTCAACCTCACAACAAAAACTTTTACAAGAGTAAAAATGAGAAAATGATTAAGTTCTATGGAAGACAATAACACTTTCTTGCAAATAAATAGTTTTCTCTCAAAATAACTTTAGTAAAGAATTAATAGAGGATGAAGACCACAAGAATGGGGTGTTTTTAGAGTGTTTCAAGTGTCTAAAAATGACCAAGGAAGAGAGTTTTAAATGTGGTAAAGAGAATATGTTCATTGGTCCAATAAAATAAAAGTTGGTGCTGAAAAATACACTAAAAATTGATTTTTAGGCTGATTTTCATACTGTTGAATTCCAAAGCCAAAAATTTGATTTTTTCAAAAGGGAAAATCGGGTTTTATGGCACAGAGAACAAAGATAAGATCACAAGAAACATCTGCATAGGATAATGGGTCAAAGGACATTATACCATTGTTCCTCATGTGAGAATGTCTTGAAAAAGATGGGTTTTAAGTACTTACCTCATTTTGCTCTTCAAGATCAACGAGACATAAATTTGAAGAGTCGTCTTTGGAAGAATAGGATTGATCATACTTACACGAGAAATAAGCGTGTTCATATCTATTGCTCTTTTTCTTGAGCTTCGGGCAATCGTATTTTAAATGACTGAACTTTCTGCACGTATATCATTTTGGAATGTTTGTTCTCTTGCTCTTCTTTAGCTCATGTTTCAAAAACTCGTTAAAACATTCAATCAAAATATCATAAGAATCACTATCACTCTTTAAGCTACTTTCACTATCAGAATCACCAACCTCTATTCTTTAAGAAGATGCTTTAAAACTGATTCCCGTTATCTTCTTTACTTCGAGATCAGAGTATGGGAGAGACGAGTACTTTCATAACTGACAAGATTACCTTGAAGATTGTCATACGCGATGACGTTGAAATCCCGACCTTCGTAGATGCCATTCGCTTTGACTTTCAATTCTTTGGTAAGACTTCTCAAGATTTTTCTTAGCAATTTTGTGTCTATAAAAGTCTTTCCAAGCATATCAAAATCGTTGATTATATTTGAAAATCTTTGAAACATGTCCTCCAAAAGCTCATTATCTTTCATAGTAAACAACGCATATTCATGGGTTAGTAAATGAAATTTTTTCTTCAAGAACTTGAGGCATACATTCATAAGTAACTTTGAGTGTATTCCATATTTTATTGGTGGTCCGGTACCAGGATATCCTTTGATAGTCATTAGCGTTGGCGACACAATATAAAAAAATTAATAGTTGTAACATTTAGTTGAGCCTTCTTGAAGTCAGCTTCATCATATTCATCTTCATTCTTCGGGATTTAAGTATCACCTACCTTCTTCATAGGCAAACTATCTCCGTTCTTGATAACAAGCCATAACTTAAAGTCATTGATTGGAACAGAAATCCTCATATGTTCCTTCCAATAGGAGTAACTTGTTCCATAAAAAAATGACGGTTTTACGGTGGATTGCCCATCTTGAGTCCTCGTGTTCAACAATCTCAATAAAATTTTGATCATTTTCTCAAACGTCACAAAGAGCGTTGGAGATACATGCTCTGATTCGAATTGTTAGTCAATGTGCACAACTCTAGAGGGAGGTGAATACAGTTTGTTGAGAATGTTTACCGTTTTTGTAGTGTTTGTGTAAATAAATGAATGTGCAGCGGAAATAAATAAGAGAAGACAAAGAACACACTGGTGTGTACTGGTTCACCACCTCATGGCTAGTCCAGTTCCCCGAGAGATTCTCTCGAAGCTACCACTATCTATCAAGCTTAACTGGGTGCTTGACAAACCGTTTACAACTTTAGAACTTAAGTTGCATAAGCCTAACCACAACCGCTCGTAGACATGTCTTTTACAAGATTTCACACCAAGATTTAAGTCACATAAGTTTTGTACAATAAAAAAAAGAATCTATTTCAACTTCACAACAAAAACTCTCACAATTGAACTTTGACCACAAATGATCAAAAGACTTGTGGTTAGCATTACTATCTTTCAACACAAATAAATTCAAGTCTTACTTTCTTAACACTTTTCGTCTTTGCCAACTACACGATGTCGATAACAATAATTTGAATTTCCATTTGTTTTCATAAAGTCAAGACGGTCCATTATCAACTTTGACCCTTCATCTTTTTACCATTCACGGGGTACACTTTGGCTACCACTCCGCCAGTCGGAGCACAGGGGAATACGAGTCCTTTCGTTCAGATTTACCCACCGCTTCTACCGTTTCCACTTGCTTCCATTTTTGTGTGTGTATATATATATATATATATATATATATATATATATATATATATTCCACCCAGTTCTCCCAACCGTCGTCTTCCTCCTCCCATTTCATCTTCTCACCTCTCTCATCTTCTCATCTCTAAAGCGGAAGCTGAAAATGGCCACACCTACGGCGACTATGGAGGTCGGAAACGACGGTGTTGCCGTGATCACCATCACCAATCCCCCCGTCAACGCCCTAGCCATTCCAAGTAAGTCACCGATTGTGCAGAGTTGCTTTGTCTCTGTGCGTATGGAGAGTTTTTGAATATACGACGGATTTGGATTTGATTTGATTTTTGAGCTGTGTTCCAGTAATTAATGGCTTGAAGGATAAGTTCACGGAGGCTGCTAGGAGAGACGATGTCAAAGCCATTGTTCTGACCGGTGAATTTCCTTATCTTATTCTTCTTAGGTCTTGCTTCTGCTAGTTCACCGGAAGTCAACAGATACTGAAATGAAATGAATTCATATGATCAACCGGATTGTGGTTTTGTTTTAAATTCAGAATCTGCAAACTGTGCATCTCCTTAATTTTCTATGTATGAATCCATGAATATTTGCTTAAGAAATTGAAGTTTTGTCCAAACTTACTTAAAACCATTTTTGCTCAATTAGCATGAGGAGCTCTGGTTTAGATAGACTGATAAGAGTAATAGTCTATCTTTAACTGCCACTGAACTTGAATACTGTATAGTGTGACAGGATAGAATTGGTAACATTTTATTCTTTATGAACTCAGCCTGCAGATGCTGTTTTATATTTTTTTTCTCATGGTTAATCACATTTTACAAATTTTGGTTTTCTTTAACCATTCCTGTACATTTTGTCTTACAGGAAGTGGTGGGAGATTCTCTGGTGGTTTTGACATCAATGTTTTCGAACAAGTTCACAAGCATGGTATTACTTTCCCCACTTTTTATGTCAATTCTATTGGCATCTATAGTATTGGCATCTGTTAATGTGAACTGATGAAAGTTTATGGCCTCAGGGGATGTGTCTGTACTACCTGATGTTTCTGTTGAGCTACTTGTCAACCTGATTGAAGGTGTGTACCTCAATTCATGCTACTCCCTTTGTCCCTTAAATATGTTCCACATTTCCCTTTGTATGCCCTAAAAAAAGGCAACACATTCGTTTTTATGAAAGGAATTATGTAGTTCATATACTCGTAATTTCTTCTCTGCACAAACCTCTTCCACAAAATTTCATTTTTCTTAATAATCGTGGAACCTTATTTTTGGATGGACGGAGTGTTTTTTCCTAATGTCTATTTGTAAAGAGCCTTTATTCTGGAATTAGTGGTATTATTTGATTATTTAAATCATCATATTTCCGATCTTAATCTTAGCTGTGTCATTTTAGATGGAAAAAAACCTGCTGTTGCTGCCATTCAAGGACTTGCCCTTGGAGGTGGCTTAGAATTGGCATTGGTATGTTGTTTATTTTCTAAGATGCCTTTAATACAAGTAATGTATTAACCTAAAAATGTGAGTAAGTGTTTTTTGGTGCATGATTTCCTTTACCAGGGATGCCATGCTCGCATTTCTACACCAAGAGCTCAACTGGGCTTGCCCGAGCTTTCCCTTGGGGTTATCCCTGGCTTTGGAGGTATGACTGCTTGATATATGTTGTTTTAATTTTTTAGATATTCAAGATTAGTTTTATATCCTTCAAAAAAGTATTGACGTTTTCCTCTCCTTTCCAAGGTACACAACGCCTTCCAAGACTTGTGGGATTGCCTAAAGCTATTTCAATGATGCTGGTAAGTATCCTAACCAGCAGTCCAACAATATCATTCCACATCATCTGCTAGAGTGATGAAACTATTGCCCATAATAAGAAAAAAATTTAAATTTTATTCCGCAAGTAAAGCACATAAAATGACAATTTGGTATGGAAAATCGCCAATGATGCAGGGAAGGGGTGGCTAATAGAAATGTATGTGCTGCTTAAAAATTATTTTATCTTCATTAATGTGCAATTAACATTGTTGATTTGCAGACATCTAAACCCATATTGTCTGAAGAAGGGAAGAAATTAGGTCTCATTGATGCAATTGTTACCCCAGAAGAATTGATTAAAGTATCACGGAAATGGGCACTGGATATTGCTGGAAGGAATAAACCCTGGATACGATCCCTTCACAGGACTGACAAACTATGTTCTCTTTCTGAAGCACGAGCTTTATTGAAGGATGCTAGGCAACAGGCAAAACAGACTGCCCGCAATATGCCACAACACCAGGTATGCCTTGATGTGATTGAAGAAGGCATTGTTCATGGAGGTTACAGTGGAGTTCTAAAGGTACTTCTTTTCCCTATTCTTGTTACAGTGGAGGTTACTAAACAATATGTCCTAACCCAACAATTTTATTGTTGATTAATCAGACTAGTTTTTTTCTTCAGGAGGCCAGAGATTTCAAGGAGCTTGTATTGTCAGATACTTCAAGAGGGCTTGTTCATGTGTTTTTTGCACAAAGAGCAACCTCGAAGGTAATGTAGATGTCTATGAAGTATGTACACTGAACAACCTGGTAGTATAATACGTAGTAGTAAACTATTACAGATCCATCACTGTATTAGTAAATTACCACAAACATATCTGCTTATTAGTAATTTTTACAGATCATCAGTAAATTATACAGATCATCACCATATAGATTTTCAGTAAGATGTGCTATAGTCCATCTTTTATTGTTGTCTGTGCTAAGAATCCTAAGATGTATATATTCTGTTACCTTTTCCCTTCTATCTAGATCAAAGACATTGAATATAGTGAGTATGTAACATGATAATTTTCATGGTGTCGTTTTAACACTTCTAGCTTTTAAGAGAAGGCATTGCCAACTTTTTGTCTTTGAGTAATGGTAAATCAATTTTTGCCATAATACGCAGCATCTTTTTGCGACAATAGGCTAAAACTAGTACTTGTGTTGCGTGACTTTTTTGTTGTTGAAGTAGTCCAGGCATGCCTTACAAACTTTTTGTTTTTTTGGGATGTTGTAATAGGTTCCTAATGTTACTGATATTGGTCTCAAACCAAGGCTAATAAAAAAGATTGCTGTAATTGGTGGAGGTTTAATGGGCTCTGGGATAGCTACAGCTCTTATTCTGAGCAACAAGTATGTTCTTCTCAAGGAAATTAATGCCGAATATCTTCAAAAAGGGATAAAATCAATAGAAGGTACGCTGATGAAGTATTTTTTGTTATTGGGCATTGAATGCCTCGAGTATGTTGGACTACCAAGGAAATTAAAGCTTAATATCCTCAGAAATAGAAAACTATTCTTGTATCGTTAGTATCTTATGTTTTTGCTCTCAATGTGGCAGAAAATGTCCGAACTTTGGTATCAAGGAAAAAGTTATCTCAAAATCAAGCTGAAAAATCCCTTTCATTACTTAAAGGTGTATTGGACTACTCGGAGTTTAAGGATGTTGATATGGTTATTGAGGTACAGAGTTGAATTTCTGATTGTGTTTTTGTATTGGTAAAATGGTGTTTAGGATGATTTTCATTACAGCATTACTTTTTGATCATGTTTAATATTTATTCAAGTTTTGAAATACACCCAGCGCTGTTACACATGTTGAATGAGTTACCTCTTGATTGCAGGCTGTGATTGAGAATGTTCCTCTAAAGCAACAGATTTTCATTGATATTGAGAAGGCGTGCCCTCCTAATTGTATACTGGCATCTAACACATCTACTATAGACCTTAACGTAATTGGTGAGAAGACCAGATCTCAAGATAGGGTTATAGGTGCTCATTTTTTCAGGTTCACACCTATCCTCACTCGTAGTTTGATTACAAGAAAATTTTACTTATTCAACATGCATAACCTATCTGTCTCGTGCCTTGTTTCTCTTATGTTCAGTCCTGCTCATGTTATGCCTTTGCTGGAGATAGTTCGGACAGAGAAGACTTCAGCTCAAACAATTGTTGACCTTATGGCTGTTGGTAAAGCAATAAAGAAAGTACCTGTTGTGGTGGGGAACTGCACTGGTTTTGCTGTAAACAGGACCTTCTTCCCATATGCCCAAGGAGCACATCTTCTTGTCCATCTTGGAGTTGATGCCTTCAGGATTGATGCCCAGATTACAAACTTTGGCCTTCCGATGGGCCCTTTCCAGTAATTCCCTTTCCTAGTTTCCTTTATATGCTGATTGGCAATATTTTAATTTCTTTAATCCCTCCATCGGATCTCGGACGCTATATAGGTTATACTAGCTCTGTTTTTGCAAGCAGACTGATTTGAAGCTTTGGCATACATTATTTTCTTAGCGTCTTGTTAAGAAATGCTTAATATTCCATTTTGTTTAAAAAATGTATTCGGTAATGTTTTATGAAGGTGCACCCATTTAATTTTGGTAAGGTGCAATTATTGTAAATTATTTATCTTCTATTTTTATTGGAACAGTTTTTTGTTGGAAATATTTGATTAAATTAACTGAATTTTTTTTCTTTTGTTGGAATGTGCCTAATTTGGGACAGAAGTTTTGGAACATGACTTTTTTTGGAACAAAGGGAGTAATTAGTATACTTGCAAGCTTGCATGATGTCTTAAGTTATACAAAGTGCTTTTATTCACATATCTTATTCGAATGATTATCAGAAGGGTACTATGGTGCATTTTTGTGTGCGGAACAAACTCATGTGAAATTGCTATTGCAGACTTCAGGATTTAACAGGATATGGGGTAGCTGTTGCTGTAGGAAAACAATTTGATGCTGCTTTTTCTGACCGTATATTTAGGTCTCCTTTAATTGATCTCCTCATCAAAAGCGGTCGAAATGGTAATTTTTTCTTTGATTTCTCTGATTACTTAATTAGAATTAGTGGGTTCTATTTAAAATTTCAATGCGTCTCTCTCTCATGCAGGCAAAAATAATGGAAAAGGATACTACATTTACCAGAAGGGAATGAAACCAAAACCAGATCCTTCTGTGTTTCCAGTTATAGAAGAGTCTAGAAAGCTGATGAATATTATGCCGGGAGGGAAGGTACCTCACATCATGTCTTTTTATTCTATCAGTCTTTTCATTTCTACACACATCAAGAACATCATGTTTAAGTGTTGGGCACGATATATGTAAATGTCAATACAAACGTGCTATTTTACCCTTTTTAGACTGACTTGAAGTATGGATTTTTGCCCCTCATCCTTGGTCCACCCAAATTTATATAAATTTTAAATTAGTCAACTGCATATCACTTATCACACCTACAAAAGCATTGAAATGGTGAAGATGAAAAAACATCCCTTTGGTATTAAAAAATGACAGACTGAAAAGAAGTCTTATTTTTTTAAGAGTCTGAAAGAACAAAATGAAATGAGTAATACTTGGAACATACAATCTGGCTTTGTTTTATTGCATCAAAAGGACTGCTCAAGGATGCATACTGTTTGAATCGTGCGGTTGACTAATGATCTCAAAATTTTTAGGCCATATCTGTGACCGACCAAGAAATAGTTGAGATGGTGCTCTTTCCGGTAGTGAATGAGGCATGCCGTGTTCTTCATGAAGGGATGGTTGTCCGAGCCTCGGATCTGGACGTTGCATCTGTTCTTGGAATGAGCTTCCCTTCTTACAGGTTACTATCCCTTCTCTTCTTTTGAATCTCTGCTTAACAACAACACAACGGTATGGTGCGACAAGTAGGATCCTAAATAAGGCGGGTGTGCTTAGACCTTACCCTACGTTTATCATTTTTTTGGGCATCACAGAGGCGGAATTGTTTTCTGGGCTGATACGGTTGGAGCTGGCCATATATATAAAAGCCTGAAGAAGTGGTCAGAACTGTATGGTAACTTCTTCAAGCCCTCCCCTTTCTTGGAAGAAAGGGCACTCAAAGGCATTCCATTGGTAAGAACAACATTTCATCATCTATTATGTATTGTACTTGTAAAGTTTTTTTTGTTTTTTTACCCATCTAAGTATTTATCATCTTCAAATGCAGAGCGCTCCCGTTGCACCGACCTCTTCAGCTTCAAGATCACGTCTGTAGACCGTGTTTCAACCATCCACATATGATCCCCAAAATTGGGAATGGCAAAAAAAGAACACTTAAAATCATACAGTGTTGGGGGACCTAATAAAATTATGTGTTTGTTTTGTTGCTAGAAAAGAAGGGTTTACTTTTTGAGTTATTAAATGTTAAAAACTAGTTTTGAATAATGTATGAAATTCACAACAATTTCATTAATAAAGATGTGTGTAACTAATGGGCGATTACTTCTGTCATTGTCATTTAAGTCCCAACTCATCTTTATCATTACTCCTCCCTAGCCCCTCAAACCTATGCACACGAAAACATCTTTAAATACTAGTGTTTTTTTTTGAAACAGTGCTCCAAAATTGTGTATTTGATTTAAAAATTATTGGAAATTCTAAACACTTTATGAGGGGTCTTACAATTAATCCCTTCAAGAATTTACTTTTTTTGGATTCCAAATACAAATGCAGAGTATTAAGTTCTAAAGTATGTTTATTGAAAAAGCAAACTGCATCAAATATTATTTCCTCTATTTCAATGTATTCATTCAGTTTGGCTTTTTCGAGTGAAACCGGACGAATTTTAATTATCAATTATTCTTAATTTGTATTGAATATTGATACAATAATTTAAATATTTAATAGTTCTCAACAAGTTAAATCCATTGAAATAATTTTTATATTAAGATATTTTATCATTTTTATATAATTGAGGTTCAAAGTTCATCAAATTTAATTTGGAAAAATCAAATAGGACGAATCCACTAGAACGGAGATAGTATGTAATACTTTAGGTGCTACCATCTCCCTAACTTTATTGTGAATTTGATAAAGCTTGAGCTTGATTGAATTTAGAATGAAAAAAGGTACATCAAGTCCCAATTCGAGAAGGGATAGTCTCCAGATTCTCAAAGGAAAATACAATAAAAGATAATCACATAAGAAAATGACATGACTTTAAGTAATAAATCCCACTCCTAGGGGAGTTGGTAACTGCCACGTAACCCACCCGCTCAGCCACTTAGTGGGTTGTTTGAAATGCCCATTAACATTTTGAGCTGCTCCACTTCTGCCGGCCCACCCTTTGCCATCTTTTTCCTTCTTGAATATACCAATCTGATTGGAGGCTTATCACTACTACCCGCCTGGTAAAACGACTTGTCCTCAAGTCGAAAGGAAGGGAATTGAGCTCGCAACAGATCATAACACTCATAAGTAGCTTCCTCCACTGGACGTTGACACCAAGAGATGAGTAACTCCAACACATGCTGATCTGCTTCCCATACCCAACGGTGAGAGAGAACTTCTTTAGGCTGCACGTCAAATTCCCAGTCCCGTGTGATGGGGAGGGGAGCAATAGGTGAAGTCGGAACTTGCCCCCTAGCTGGTTTCAGCATTGATACATGAAACACTGGATGAATGCGAGCATCTGGAGGCAATTCCAACTCATAAGCAACAGGCCCCACCTTGTGTGTAACTTTGTAAGGCCCAAAGAACGTGGGAGAGAGCTTATCGTATCGCCGTTTAGCCAAGCTTTTTTGCCTATAGGGTTGTATCTTTAGAAACACCACATCCCCTACTTCAAATGAGAGTTCTCTGCGTTTTGTATCAACTTGAGATTTCATTCGATCTTGAGCTTTTTGCAGATTCTGTTTTAAGATTTTCAGCATATCATCCCTGGTTATTAGTTGATCTTTTAACTCAGCATTCTTAGTTTCCCCAGTGGTGTAAGGATGGAAGGGAGGAGAGTCACGACCATAAACTACCGAGAAAGGAGTGGAGTTGATGGCAGTGTGAAACCGAGTATTGTAGGAGTACTCAGCCCACGACAGAAACGAACTCCATTTGTGAGGCTGCTCGTGAGCAAAGCAACGAAGGTAAGCCTCTAAGCATCGATTAAGGACTTCAGTTTGTCCATCCGTTTGGGGGGTAGTAACTAGTACTCAGCTTCAAAGTGGTGTGACTGAGGCGAAAGAGCTCCTGCCAGAAGTGACTCAGAAATATCACATCCCTATCACTCTATCAGAGATAATAGATCGTGGAAAACCATGAAGGCGAACAATTTCCTTGCAAAACACGGCAGCAACTCCTTTGGCTGTAAATGGATGAGTGAGAGGCAAAAAGTGAGCGTATTTGCTTAATCGGTCGACCACCACAAAAATGGTATCAAACTTGTTTGATGTGGGTAGCCCTGTAATGAAATCCATAGAGATGTCTTCCCAAATTTGCTGCGGTATAGGAAGTGGTTGAAGTAACTCGCTGGTGATAAAGTGTCATACTTTTGTTGTTGACATGTAAGGCTGTTCTGCACATGGATGCGAACATCTTGTTTCAGGTTAGGCCAATAGCAGTACAATGATATGCGTTTGAGTGTCTTTAGAAACCCTCCATGGCCTGTCATCGGGGTACCATGGGCTTCATGAAAGAGTTTGTCCCGAAGGCCCGGTACATTTGGAATTACAATGGGCCCCTTAAAAATAAAGTTTGACGTACCATTTTGAAACCTGGAAAGGAAGACATGTCGGTAGACAACCCCTGGATAATTTTATGGGTGTATGGATCAGTTTTTAAACCCTCATGTACCGCTGCAATATCCAAACAATAAGGGATTGCAAATGTGAGGAAATTTACTTGTTGGGGTCTGCGAGAGAGTGCATCGCCCCCCCTTGTTTTCCCTTCCCGATTTGTGCGTAATTGAAAAATCATAAGGCATCAGCTTCATCAGTAAACGTTGTTGTTCATGAGTAGTAACTCGCTGCTCCAATAAGAACTTCAAGGTGTAATGATCAGTTCGCACGAAGAAGTGTTGTCCCATAAGATAATGATTCCATTTTTGCACAGCTATGACCAAAGCCAATAGTTCACGATCATATGCCGATTTGAGGCGATTAGATGGTGAAAACCCTTTCCTAAAATAGGCGATGGGGTGGTCTTCTTGAATTAAGATGGCCCCAACTCCCTCTGATGAAGCATCACATTCCACGATGAAAGGCAATGAGAAATCTGGCAGGCGGAGAATAGGGGCTGGAATAAGCAACTGTTTCAGTTTAGTAAAAGCTGTCATTGTCTCATCATTCCACAAAAACCCATCTTTCTTGGTCAAGGCTGTCAGGGGGTGTGCAATCAACCCATAATGCCGTACGAAACGACGATAATATCCTGTTAAGCCCAAAAATCCCCGTACCTCACGAACATTAATAGGTATGGGCCACGCTTGAACTGCTGCTACCTTCTCTTGATTAACTTGCAGGTTCAATGAATACAGATGCAAAGTTTTGGAATAATGATTGTAAGTCTGTGGGTATCTCGGGTAGGGTTTCCGATTCAATACTAAGGTGTTGAAAAGCTGCAGATTGCTGAGGACCAGAAACTAAACCTTGCAACTTGTATTTCTGCCCATTGATGGTGAAAATAAGGAACATTTCGTTCCAATTAGCCTGCACAGTGTTTAGAGATGCCAACCATTGAATTCCTAGGACAACATTTGCTCCTCCAATTGAAAAAGGATAGAAGTCCTGAGTAATTTTAAGCTCTGGCAGCTATAGAGGAATTTCTCTGCACACTTTATTACACCTGATTATATCCCCATTCCCAATTTGAACCCCAAATGGCGGTACCAGTTGGGTTGTTAACTTTAAATCCTGCACCAAGTTATCTGAGATAAAATTATGAGTTGAGCCACTATCAACTAAAATTAGGACCTCTTTTGCGTTTATAGTTCCATGTAGCTTCATTGTAGTGGTGTGTGATTTTCCCAAGATGGCGTGTAGACTAATTTCCGCTAGATCATCCTGGGAAATAGCCTCTTCTTCTCCCACAACTTGTACGAAATCATCCTTTTCCTCTGCCGCGTCTAGTAATTTGAAAGTCCCTGTTTTACATCGGTGTCCAAGACTATACTTGTCACCACATCGAAAACATTCGCCCCTTAGGAAGCGTGTCTGTTTCTCAGTATCAGAAATGCGTAAAGGAGGATTCTTTTGAGGAACAGGTGGAGGATTATTGGGAGGATTTGGTTGTGAGGGAGTTTTGAAACTGCCAACAGAAGCAGTTCCTATTCCTGAACGAGAACATCCAATCTTAGATTCAAATTCAAGGGCTAGGCTCATCGCATTGTACACTATCCCATGCTTATGAATCCGGACATCCGCCTTTAACTCCTCCTTGAGTCCATTCAGAAAGACCCCTAGCAAGCAGTTATCTGGCCAATTGGAAACGCGAGCAGATCGTTTGGCGAATTCCTATCTGTATTCTTGGACAGATCCGGTCTGCTTGGTACTGCACAAGTACTCATCTGGATTTTGATATTCAGCAGGACCAAAATTCTTTTGTAATGCCTGAACCAGATCTTCCCCGTAGATGATACCCTAGTCCACATTTAGCCATGAATACAGGTCTAAAGCGCCTCCTTCCAAGTACATGACCGCGATATCCACCTTTTCATCTTCAGGTACATTGTAGTAACGAAAATACTTTTCTGCCTTTAGAATCCAGCCTCTAGGATCTTCATCACTAAATACAGGGAAATATATCTTGTTATAAGGGCGATAAGGACGATTGTTTCTCCAAGAGTACGCACCATCATCGGCAGGATCTTTATGACCACGTTTAAAACCGCTGTTACTAGAAGATGTAGCATGAGACTTGAGGGTGGCGACATCATGTTTCAGGGATTCCATGACGGCTAGTCTCTCGGCGATGGCGGCTAACTGGACGGCAATGGGGTCAGGTTCTGCACCCCCGCCTTCCGATTGGTTACTCCGGGTTGTTGGTGCCATTCGATTCCCGGCAATGGAACCAAATGATAAAGCTTGAGCTTGATTGAATTTAGAATGAAAAAAGGTACATCAAGTCCCAATTCGAGAAGGGATAGTCTCCAGATTCTCAAAGGAAAATACAATAAAAGATAATCACATAAGAAAATGACATGACTTTAAGTAATAAATCCCACTCCTAGGGGAGTTGGTAACTGCCACGTAACCCACCCACTCAGCCACTTAGTGGGTTGTTTGAAATGCCCATTAACATTTTGAGCTGCTCCACTTCTGCTGGCCCACCCTTTGCCATCTTTTTCCTTCTTCAATATACCAATCTGATTGGAGGCTTATCAGAATTACACAAACAAAAGCACCCAGACATTTGATTGTGACTTGGCCCACAAAACTTCTGCCAGATAATAATTGATGCATACATGACCAACGCATTATTCTTGTAACTTTTTCTATTAAACATTGTTTATTCTTGTAACTTTTTCTATTCTTGCGCAAATTGGGATTTTTTCCCACAACAATTACAAAAAAAGTAGGGAGTAGATATGGACGGATTAAAAACTGGGGCGTGAGGCCAATATGGAGCACTTAATATGAGTAATCAGAATGCTATAAGATGATTTATCATACCAAATGTCTAGCACTAGTTAAACATGAAAAAATAGCAAATTCTTTTATGATTTTTAAGTCTATACTCATTTTTTGAACCTTTACACATAAAATAATTTTATGTAAAAATAAAGAGACTCAACCATGAATCCACGAAAAATATGCAAGAAAGTCCACCTTTTACATGTGGACCTTAGAATCACAATAGCACAACTCAAAAAAAAAATATATATATACTCAGATACATATATTCATAAAGCTGATAAAAAAGAAGATAAAACTGAAATGAAAGGCATGATGCCAACCTAATCTCATGTAAGAGGATTAGAGGACTTAGTTTGCACTTGTAAGAGTCACCACTCTGGTCAATTACCAAATCAAACAAAAAAAGCCAATTATAATTCATCTAGATGGAAAACTTTTGTTGACATCGATAACGATTAATGGAGAATGTATAGATCCTCTTTCCGTTGAAGTTGTTACTGGTGTGGTTAGTTCCCTACTGCTGAAATGGAGGACAAAAATGACCAAAGAAATGCTTTGCATTGTTTATTAGTCCCTACAATTTAAGTTGCAACTATGCAAAGAGAAGAAGAAGAAGAAAAAAAATCAACTATGCATCTATCTACTCGTCTGTTTTCTCCGGGAGATTGACCTTTTGGTCTTGCACTACTAAAACGGGACTAGCAGTTGCAGAAGTGGTGACATCTTGAGATGTTCTTGAGGGAGATGGAACAGCAGGCTTACCATTGCTGTAGAGCTCCTTTTGGTTTCGTGCCATTGAAGAACACCGTGATTCTACCATGAACAAAGGTGAAATAAATGAAGTGAAAAAAGAAGGGGATTAATTTATGACCAAGAAAGCATCCAATATATGGTGTGTAAAGCCCATTTGGCAAGTATAGTGCTGAATGTGTCGTTGGCTTTTCTGAAAGGAAAAAAGTTCCGTAAAAAAACATAGGAAAATAAGAAATATAAACTTACCTTTTATTTTCCCCAATGTAATGAGCCTGTTAAGGCAATCGCGGAATTTTGTCAAAACAATGTTTTCCTGCTGTGCATAGGCTTCCGTCATGCTTTGTCCATGATGCAGCAGGGAAGGTACCGTTTCTTGTTCATCACACATTAGTGCCAGTGTTCCTGGAGACATTGGCCTTCCTTCTGAGACATCATCTTCACTTCTCTTTTCGACATGGTTCTCTGTAGGACAACAATCAGGCAAATCCTTTACCGGAGAACCTTTAGAATTCTCTATCATATCTTGAGCTGAAGAAGCCAGTGCTTCTCTATGCTCTTCTGCTTGCTTCCCTCTTGCATCCTTTTCATCTGTAGGAAAAATTAAAAAATGTAGCTAGGAGAAAACCACACACACTGTATATGAAATGAAAATATCAAAATTTGTCTCTTTTTTTCTCCCGGGAAAAGGAAGAAAATAATTACACCCATTTAAGAGTGTGCAGGGGGAAGCGCGTGATGGTTGATCAAGATGAGAGAGTCAAGATGAATGTAACACTTATGATAATTTGTGTCTACCTGCAAACATCTTAGCAGTTTCTCTTGAACAGGAGACCAAGAATGAACAAACTTCCTTCACATCCTGTGGTTGGATAATGTCTGCCAACAGGGACCTTTAGCAGTATGGAGCAAATGAAATAGTCAGTTATGTGTGTGGATTACCACTTTTGGAATCTCTAAAGTGCTTTTGGAGTTCTAAAAGAGCTTTGGATTTTTCAAAAGCTGTTCATTCAATTTTTTTGTGTGGTTGAGCTAGTACTTCCCCAAAGTTTCTAAAAGTCAATTTGTCCCAAACTGACTTTCACAAACTTTTGGGCATTATTTCTGGACTGTAATAAATTAACAAGCAAAAGTTGAAATGACAAAGTCACTTTTAGAAATCCAAACACATACTTTGTCTACTGAAATGGTTCAAAAGATTTTGGTGCAATTTTACAAACTTTTGGATATTATTTCTGGACTGTAAAAAATTAACAAGCAAAAGTTGGAATGCCAAAGTCACTTTTAGAAATCCAAACACATACTTAGTCTACTGAAATGGTGCAAAAGATTTTTGCTGTACCTATAAGTAAATTTTGAAGGGCCTAGTGCTGCTGCATTGCTACAAATTTGGGCACCGGGAATTGAAGGCATCGGAGCCCGTTGAACAGAAGCTTTAATTTGGTTGCTCTGTAAAATGCCAAATAATAAAGATGCTTAATGGAAAACAGGAAACAATGATAAACTCATGATTCTATACAACACCATATAATGACTGAATGTACATTTAGCATTTAATCAAACAGAAAATTGAAAAGCCATTACCCACCTGGGGGAACTGCCCTAATGCATCAACAGGAATTTTCATTGTTTGTCCATTAAATATGTCCTGGACTTTTCTTCTCTTAGTTACAGGAAGAGATCCAAAACCAGAGGTTCCAATGGCACCAGTAATTACAGCATTTGCGGCCTGCTGAAGATATGCCAAGGTGTTGGGATTATCTCCACGGAAGAGTGCCTTCCTCTCTTCACTTCCTTCCAGATTTTTGCAGTGCATACATTTACAGTTTTCTGAACAAAGAATATTGGCTTGGAAACATTCACAATACTTTTTAAGGCACCCAGATTTCTTGCAGCGGCATCCTTTATTATGCTTTACCAAGACTAAACAATCCCCAGCTTCCTCCTAAAAAATTTACACCACAAAGCATAAGGAAAAAAACTACTGTATTTCACAAAGTAATTAAATTTTACAACTCAATTACCACTTAATTTCAGTTGGCCGTACCTTAATGTCCCGAACAGCGTTAGGGCTGCCTGCAATTTTAGGCCTGAATGCCTTTAAATTACGATCCAAAGTAGCTCCAACTGCTTGTCGCCTTGCAGCTTCCTTTCCAACATTGTTGTGACAATTTTCACAGTTACACCCATCACAATATATACCAGATGCAAAGCATTCACAATACCTGACTCAAATAAATGTCTATCAAAGCATATGCTATACAGTTAATAAAAGATTGAAGATGATTTGAAGAAAAAAACAGGTTCCACTGATCAACTGTTATCCAAATGAGAATAAAAAGTCAGTCCACAGTGAACATTCTTGATAGAAAATATAATTGCAGAGTTGAGCTCAGTAAGGCAACAACAACAACAAACTCATTTAAATCCCAACTCCCTTGGAGACTAGATATTCGTAACCTCACCCCTATAAAAATGGAGAAGTTATTTCTATAATACCCTTGATGCAATGCTGCATTTAGTGCCCAAATCTTCATAGAAAGTAGGAAGCTAAGGAGGTTGAATTTGCATTATTAATTTAGTCTATTATTTACACGAAGCTAAAGTATTGCAAAAAATGACTCTTTTAGCTCTATTGGCAATGGACATGTATGAGCTTAATAAGGCATTCAAGCAATTACTAATCTAAATATATTTAAATCTAAAAGATAATAAGGTTTTGTTGCACGCCTGGACCAAGGCTTGCTCTTTGTGGCAACAAAAAAATACAAAAACCTAAATATTATTGCATATAACTACAATAGCTTTTACTTAAAGCACTCACCCATTCAACTATCAACTAAACACGCAACCTAAAGGTGCATGTCTACACTTGCCAGCGAAAATACATAAATGATATCAAAAGAAGATATATTGTTCCCCATCTAGTTAATTCTTTTCTTTTTGTAGATACATATTGGTAAAAGTCTAATAGAGATGTCTGCAATGAGAATAATGAGAGTTACGGAGTACCTTAATAAAGAAACAGATGAAGGTTGAGTAAACAATCGATTAAACTACAGTTTATCTGTGTTTTATGCAAGTCATTCTCCCTATATGTCTTACATACAAATTCCTCACATAAACAACATCTCAAACAGATAAAGGAAATTATCAGAAAAAACTTACAATTTCAAACATCGAGAGTGTTTGCAGTTACATTGCTTTTGCTTCTTTGGAGTGCCATCTTTTGTGCTGTTAGTACTTTGCCTAGGCCAAACTCGTGTGGGTTCTGGTTTCCTGGAAGGTAAAAAAAGGTATTACAATAGGCATAGTGTACATAATGTGAATTCAAATGATAATATATAAAAGAATGCACAGTAACACAAAAATGGATCCATAACTGTCACTCATAGAATGTCAACCTGCAAATTTTTCATGAATGAATGACTACCCAAGTTTTCCTGAATGCAAGGGAGTTTCATTGGGGATGAAATAGAACTAGAAAAGAAGTATCAAATAGAGGAATAGATATAGAGCTCCTAAACTACTCTGAAAGTAGAGTGTCATTTATACAAAGGACCTTACTGTTTTACCTTGTTAATTGCTGCTGAAAGATGGTCATTTCTTTTCTTGAGGTTAAGCATTTCATAAAGCTGATATTGTGGAAAAATAAACTGAAGATTGGGAAAACGAAATGAAAAAACTCCAAACCAGTCATAGGTAATACTCCCTCCGTCCCCTTTTTTACCACCTCCCTTTCTTTTTGCGGGTTGCTCAAAACTAATCT